TATCTAGAAAAAATTATGCCGATTGCCTCCACGTTTTCTCTTTCCAGCCTCTCCCTTGACACCACCACACATACATACCACACATTTTGTCATCAGCCCATCTTAGAGCTTCAGCACAGCTGCAAGAATGAGGATAGTCATTGCCCTGTACTGTGCCARTGCCAGTGTTTTATGCTCCTTCCAAACTGTGCATTGGGGGCAACCTTTATTTCTCTTCCATCTCCCCCAATAGCCTGTGACCAACATTGGAACAAAATAAAATTACCCAAATTCAAGCAGCCTAAATCGGCATTTCATTCCTACACATCCTCAGTTATATAACATGTGCTCATTTCCACTGCCATTCTACCACTTAAAGGTAAAACATTAAAATAGTCTGTATGATCATAAAACATGAGAATGGTGCTTCTATGGCTCACTGTTTTCATCCTTCAGTTAAGCTGCAAAATGCTTGGTCAAATCAAGAGATAAGAGATTCTAGTGGCTTAAAGAAAACCCATGCTTTTAGAAACAGCACTTCAGAATATCAGCTCAAGAGATGGCAGTCATCTCATACCCTAGAATGTACATTTCTTACTTGAAATAAACAGAAGTCAGACTTTCCAAGGAGAAGTCTGCTACTCTCCTAATCCTGGTGTCCTAGGGAGGGATCTTGTAAATGCAGAGTCCGTGACCATGAGCCAGACATGAATTTAACCGTCTGCTCTGAATGTCTGCCAGAACTATAACACAATTTCACATTAATAAACACTGCTGGAGTCACTAAAAGAATCTCCCAATAGCTTCACTTAAATCCATGAGCTAGCTAACAGAGAAGGGAAAAGCATGAGTATAAACATATCTAACTCTGCAAGAGGTGGCCAGTTTAAATGCAAGTTTCAGCACCTACTGCAGAGATCATGCAAGAAAAATGACTCACCTCTTCATCCTTCATTTGCTATTTTCCAGGTTTAAAATTACCTGCTGCAAGCTAGCATGGAAAGCCCACTCAGTCAAGGCCCAGCTGTCTCCCAGCTGGCTTCATCCCTCCCAACAGTTTCCTCAGTCTGCTTCTTTCCAAGTACMTCCTCACAGGCAGGACTGGCACTTAGACACAGAGCCACCGTGTCCCTGCTGCACCTTTTAAGTGAGGTGAGCATGTAGAGAAAGCATGACAGATGAAGCCTAACTCTCCTGAACAACAGCACTTGGCAAGTGCTGATACAGCTGCATACTGAGCCTCAACTCCACACCTAGACCAGAGAATAAAACAGCCTCAGTTCCTTTGTGTAATTGAGAGAGTTTAGACAAGGTATGTGGACTAAGTGTCAGCTCCCGTGACAACTGGTATTTAAGGTCTTTTTTTTTTTTTCCTTTTTGATTCACTTTTTGTGCTAAGGAGAGAAAAGGTGCAAGAACAGGACTGCAAGCCAAAAACACTTCTACTACTGGGACCCTGTGCCTGAGTTGCTCCCAGCCTCAGCTGCTACAGGCAACAGCTATGTCTCCTCATCTATGATTTACTTGCTTATGCAACTGCTTCCAAACACACACTAACAGCCCCCCTGCTACTCRCATGCACCTCAGGTATCCCAATCAACTTGTCATCCACCAGGAAGAAGTTCAAAGAGGAAGAGTCAGGTAGGCTCTCCTTCCACAGAGGTTCTGCAGTTGAACTCCCAGCTGCTGACAGGTTTATACTTAACAACCATGCCAAAGTGAGCATTAAAGTTTCTGGTTACTGTAACCTTGTGAAGTTYAGAGCAAGTCCATTTGTATTTTACACGAGACACTGATGTGGTCACAAAAACCCAGATTTGACCATTTAGCAGATTTTTTTGATATTGAACTTTTTTCAAGCTGTCACTAGCAACTGATTCCACCATGCAAATTGAGGTATTGCTACCCTGCACATTTGCATCCAATCAAGAAATTGATATCAATTTGAAACAAACAAACAAGAAAAAACACACACACACACCTCAACACAATCACCATAGAAGCAAGCATGGCTTCTGCCTGTTCTGTTTCTCTTTCCTCTCCAGAGGAAAAATGCAAGGCAGTTTTTTGTGGCAAGTATTTCTCTTCTAATCTTCCATAACACTAATATCCAAAGCCTAAGATTTCYTAATAGCACAAATCAAGGGAAATCCCCATGAGCTGCAAAGGGCAAGTCTCTACATCAGACAGCAGGTTCCAAATTTCAAACATTTGGAGCATATTTCTCAAGTATTTTTAATGGGCAACCACCAGCTAGTTACTCCACCCTCCTGTGTAGTTCTGCACAAATTGCACTAGAGCTCTCCCCTCAGATATCTGGTCCTTTCTTTTGCTCCCTGCAAGTACAACTCTATTCAGAGAAAAAAAAAAAAAAAAAATCACTCTTTCAATCAGCTAAGAGACATCACAAGGAGCCAAGACACCACGCCAGACCTGACAAGCAACCCAAACCTAATTTCAGAGCTGAAAAACTAGAAATACATCTATGGTTAAGGGAAAATTTGTCTTGTTTCCTGAATTAAGGCAGTACAAAATTACCACTTCTCTTTGAAGACAATAATCTATGCTGACACTTGATGCTGCCCAGAAAATTAATGCAAACTCAAACTAACTCTAAAAAACAGGGGACTCRTAGCTCTTGTTGTCACCACTCAGATTTCTGACCTATTTTTCAAAGATGTACATTACAAGCAAGGGCACTTSCAGAAAAGCACCCTCTGGGATTTTGATTCAGTGAAACACGTCTCCACAGAAAATTCTGTATTCCTCAGAGAAGTGGCACAACTACCTTGCCAGATGCCATCTCTCTCTGCATTACATCCACATGATCAGCTCATGTGACAATAAACACAGCTTTTTAATTAAAAAGCTTTCACTCAGAAGATGGTGTCRGCTACCTCTAAAGGACTTGTAAGGTCCTCTAAAGGAGATTTAAAAATCATCACTCCACTATAGATATTTAATGAAGACAGGAAAAGCACACAGAAAACCACATTTGGAATTTATAGTAAGGGAAGAAAGATAGGCCAAAAAAAAAGTCACAGCACTTAGCACAAACTTAACTCTTCTCCCACTTAAGAGATTAATAAAACCCTTTAAGCTATTTGAGGTCAACAATGTTATTTTCATGTCAAGTGCACTGGAAAACCAGCCCAGTTTCACTCATAAGCAGACATCACAGGAACTCTCTACCTCTGATTAAACATCACCACACATTCTGAAAACACTAGTGGAAGACGCTGGCAGGATTCACTCAAGATGGTGACGGCGGGGAGGAAGAGAAAAAAAAACACCCAGCCACTACACTACTTTCCACAAATACAGAGCTGGGCAGCAGATATTAGACCACTCCACTCCTTTGAAGCTCCCAGGCCTTTTGCTATTGCTTTCGAAAGGTTTAGACTCCCTGATTATTTTTCTTACCCTAATATAACTCTTCAAGAAAACTGACCTATTCCGCATGTCACAGCAACCATTTCTACAATTTGGGTGGCAGGGGTCTCCAGGTATTTCTGAGGAGGGAACAGCCTGTCTCAAAATTCCAAGCTCCCCAAAACGAGATCCAAGCGCTACTCCCAGTGCTTAGCAGAGATATTCCACTACTGCTGCCCTCATAAGGAAGTATTTATGCTGGGTAGGGTGGATTCCCACCCAGTTTCCCAAAAATGGGATTCCTTTTACCAAGCCTCCGATTCATCCCAGTGGCTGAATTGACAAGCAGTTGTGCTTAGAGGACATCTATGCACACCTGATTATTCCCATCTATCAGTATCTTTCTCAAAGTAATTTGTAGGAAAAGTCAGAGAGGGCAGAACCAATTTTAGCTCCCCTAGCCTACCATCATGGCTGCAAAATCCATCTGGTACTTCAAATAAAGAGGCAAAAGACTCTCATACAGAGACAGTTGTGGAGACAACCAGTTGACACAAGCTACACAACTACGTTGTTGGTGTATGTCTCTAAACTGTTATGCGACAAGAATGCAAACTCAAAGTACCCTCTCCTCTTCCATCTCTACAGAAGGACAGCCAGCAATTTGAGATGCCTATTGTTCTGATTATCCATGAAGGGTGTGTTTGTTGTTTTTTTTTAAATCCATCTTAAAAAACAAACGAACGAACACTGTACAGTGTTCCAGTTATACTGAGAACATCAAGTTCAGAAACAGGAGCGTGAGCGCTGAATCTCCACCCTGGACTGGGCCTGGGGATGCATTTGGGAGAAAGACCAAGAATTTTACCCATCCTGTTCTGTTCTATACAGCAAAGAAGACCTAAGTAGAAAGTCTACTTCAAGGCCTTCATTCAAAAGCAAAGCTACAGTAAAGGCTTCAGGGGTGCCCAGAATGAAAATACAGAGTCAAACCACTCCCAGCAAAGTCTGGAAAGTCTGGAAGCAGAGGCATTAGCAGACCGCAGTTCAATACACATGGACTCTGCCTTTTGTAAACAGCATTTTTGCAAGTGGGTTAAGTCAGGGAAAACAAGGCTACAAGAACTTACTCCCAGAGTTAAGAGGACATGAGAGGGWGAAGTGGAGAAAACACAAGTGGACAGAAGATTTCTAAGAGGGGGAAAAGCACACAAAATTGTAGAGAATAAGCCCTATGCTCATCACAGGCCTATTCAGGTCTGTACAAATGATAAACTCTGTCAGCAATAACTGAAAGAGAGCAGGCATAGGCATGCAACATAGCTGGAAAAGCAAAGCAGAAGACAATGTGACTCACAGCCCTCTTGCCCTTTATAATAAGGCTCASTAATGCCAAATAACAGTACCTCCACTAATATCATCTGCACTCCCCTCCACTTTGGGGCATTTCTCAGAAAAACTCATCAGACCTGTCTCCCCACCCATGCTCAGGTTTTGCTTTCAAGTGCCAGCAATTATTATTTAGCATCATTGCCATGTTAATACACATGATCTTCAGCTGTTAGCTGCTCCAGCTCCACAGCACTTAACACAGTAGCTACCACAACCTTCTCCAGCCAGCTGGAAGCCTGGAATCAAAGCAGACATACCTGGCTTGCTTCCTTCACTCTCATGCCCCAGCTGGCCTTTGGTGTTCAAGCCACAGGCATACACTTCCCCACCTTCCAGCAGGAAGATGGAATGGTTTCCTCCGCACGCCACCTCCTTGACATTGCTGTCATGGATGAAGCCRTACACCTGCGGTTCTGGAACAACGACCTGGAGGTTGCTACCTATGCCAGGCTGTCCAAAAGACGARTATCCCCAGCATAGCATTTTCTCTCTTCTCAGCAAGTCATGTAGCTTTATCCTTCCTGGAAAAGGGGAACATGGGGAAAAAAAAGACATAAAACAAACATTCAACTCAAACAATACAATCAGCTTTCACATGTATGTATCCACTAAGACACATTTGAATTATTTCTAAAAAAAAATACTACACTAATAAGACACTAAGAATCCAACCCTCCTTAGAACTCAACACACTAGGTCTGCAACTAAAACAACTTACTGTAGTAGCATTTACTATCTCAACACAAGATATAGTGTCAAAGGTAATCCCTGCAGTATTATAGATTTCTCAAAAAAAGAAGTTTCATTCAGCATTCTGAGTCAAAAGAAATAACTGCATTCACTCCACACCTAAAGCTTGGTCCTAATTCAAGCCCTCAGTATTAGCAGTAAAGCATTTCATAATCTAAGCCCTAAGCAATTGGTGTTATCTCTCACCCCCTTATCCTTGTCAGCTGCGGTCACTTCCACCAACAGGACTGAGCTGGAAGAGGGAGAGGATTTTCTAGCTGCAATTCATCAGCAGTACAATTTAGCACTGCAAACAATTCACYATGAACTCTTCTTGGAGGTGCTTTGGAGCATGCCATGAATTCCATTTTATCTCTACCAACCCTTGCTCCTCTTAAGTATCACCCCATTTGTACACATCTACRAATATGCTTATTACTGAGCAGCTCCAAAGTATCCATGGGGGAAAAACGCAGGCGATTACAGGGCTCCGTCCACTCGTTATATAGGTTACTGTATGTATTTTGTTTTGGGTTGTCCTCAGCAGAAAAGCTTGAGGAAAGATACTCTGCTTGTTACTCCATTTCCTATGCTGAGAATAGAAACACTGTGGATATAATAAAATTCAAGTTGATACGTATGCTTATCCTTTAAAGGACACACCTGATATATTTGTAGCAAACTTCACATTCTGCTAGCAGAAAGAAAACAGCACAAGCATATTCCTCAAGGTGACAAYGCCAAGAGACAAAATGATTACAAAACTACAAAACTAAGATGTGAAATGGTAGCAATCCATGTCTGTCATTTCTCTCAGCCTGGGGAATTACCTTATTATCAAAATAAGTACCTTCACAATTAAAGCAAACCTAGGGATCCAAAGATAACAATTTCTTATGATATACATGAAGGTTATCTCCGAGATGAAAAGATTTCATGATTAAATAGGATCAACTCCCATGATAATGTACAACATGAGCTAAACATWAACCTAACACATCTTTCTAAGAAGGCTCCTACAAAGTCTGGTCCCCAGAGATTTTTTTCCAAGTTAAGAAACACTAAAAAACATTTACTTGCCTTTTATTCATGTTTTTCACAATAATTTGCCATAATGTGCAGGAGTGTTAAGATATTCATGTTAACAGGGGAGGAAATCATTATTTCAAATGGCAAGAGGGCAAACTCCCAGTCAGTCATACACATACTATGGTGATGTTTCAAAGGACCTCAGAAGCCATACGTGCCAGTGGGCAGATTTTCTGAAGCATCCTGAAGTTTAGTAGCCCCTCCAAGAGGGCACAGGGACTCCTGAGCACCGAATAATTCAGCAATCTCCACAACTCACGGGGGGGGGGAGGGGAACAAAAAAACCAACCCACACACACACACACCACTAACAAACAACCAAAAAAACACAGCACTTCCCACTCAAGAATAAAACCCTTATAGCCACATTTTATTTGAGAGCATGAGCACAGGAATACACTTGTTCTCCAATGGCCTGGTGAGCTACATTTTATTTTGAAGCCACTGCACTTAAAAAAAACACAACTGTTTTAAATGATTTATCTCTCAATGCAGCATGCTAAGCTGCTGCAAGTCTCATTGCAAGCAGCTGCTGCAAATGGCAGTGCAAAGAGGATCTTTGACTTCCTGTGTCACGAACAGTAATAACATTGCAGTGAGAACTTCACACTCCCTTTCTAGTCATACTTGATGCAGTTAGTCCTCTTGGAGGACTGTCAAACAACTGAAAAAAAAATAAAAGAAAAAAACAACATATAACACTGAAAACGGCATCTCCAGGCTGCATAGTTCACTTCATAATAAAACAATTACATTAAAAGTTTCTAAAGCAGGAAGTAACACATGCATATACCACACACATATACCCATGCATATTTTTTACTCATGCATCTGGCATCTTAAATAAGTGACCAGTCATTGCTAATATTCACCTACACCTATCTTAAACAATTGAAGTTTAATCTTTGAACATTACACTAAGAAAAGGCTCAAATTATGTTTGGGCATTCAAGCTCCTAGCCCCATTTYGATAATCAGATTGCAACATGAGAAAAGAACAGCACCCAACCAGASTACACACCCCTGCTCTTTACAAATCACATTGCATCTAAATTGGTACTTGTATTCTAAAAGGTAAGAGCAGATGCAATGCAGCAAAACTGCTCAACTGAAGAAATTCCCTATTTCTAAGTCCCCTCCGTCTCCCCACCCCCCTCCAAAAAAAAAAAAAAAAAAAAAAAAAAAAAAAAAAGGAGGAAGGAGAACATGAGGACACCCCCAAGCACAGATATGCCAGGAACAATTCACTACTGAAGGATGTTCCACAGCACAACCAGAGAAAAGAATATCTCATGCTGTGGGCATTACTTTGAGAAAGACAACAGTGGGTGGAAGATCCACCCTTCCCTAAAATAAGCTTCAGCTGACACACTAATATATACTCTTTAGTGAGAAACAGCCCTGGTGCTTTGTAGGAAATAACAGTGCTGCTTTTAAGATCATGACAGGGGGCATTTTCTTCACTTTTTTTTTTTTAAATAACTATCAAAACACACACACAGTCTCTGCACATCACCAAAGCACCCCAAAACACATACCTGTGACAGCAACTGTACACTTCCCGGTAAAGTGAAATAAATACTATGTAAGAAGCAATATTCAAGGCTGCCTGCTCTCAAAAAAAATGAGCATCTGCCAACTGGCAGGGCAAAAGCAGACAACCCTGCTTCTCTACTGCTCGCAGGGCTTAGGCCAGCAAATGCACTGCCCAACAGTGAAGYAACCTGCCGCAGGCTGGTGTTACAAGCAGGTCCAGAACCTGCTCCAAGAAGCCCGATTTCTCCATCCTTCCCACACAGCGCTGCACTACAACTCCCAGGAGAAAGCAAGGAGCAAGCAGTTACACCAGGAGGACGTTTCCCCGGGCAAGTGCCCGATCAAAACGTATTTCCGACAGACACTCCTCAACACCCAACCACTCTTGTGCAAACGGAAGGGGAGTGGGATGAGGCAGAGGAAYGGCTTCGCCAAACACCCCCTCTCTCCAAAGCCCCAGCGGCACCTGCCTCCTTCCCCACGACCACCCCCGACAGAGCAACTCCAGGGCAGCGGAGAGGAAGAAATAAGGGAGGAAAAAGGAACAAAATGGGGAGGGGAAAGCGGAGGGGGAAAAAAAGGGGGTTAGGAAAAGGAAAAATGGCGGGGGGGAGGGAAGGTGGAAGAGAAAGGAGGAAAGACATGGAAAAGGAAGGAAAAAACAGCGCGGAAAAGGCGAGGCAGCACTGCTATGGAAATACCAGACGGAGAGAGCCCACGCAGCCCAGAAGGGAGGCCGCTCACCCCGCTAAAAAGGCGAGCGAAGCCCCTCGCTGCCCACCGGCCGCCGCCACCAGCTCCGCGGCCGCCTCGGCAACGAGGAAATCCCGCCCCGCCACCGGTCAGCCTGACGGACGGCGCCTCGCAGCCAATGGGCAGCGCGGAGCCGGCGCCGACGAGCCAATCAGCGGCCGCGGCCGAGGCTGCGCGAGGCCGCGGCGGTTGGGGCGGTCTCGCGCAGGCGGCCGTTGGCCGTTGGCCGTTGGCCGTTGGCCGTTGGGCGGGGGCTCGGGACCCACGCGTGGGGGGCGGTGCTTGGTGTTGCTGTCACGCGGCCGCGCGACTGTGGGGGAACGTGGCGGCCTCAGGCGCGAGGGAACAACGGCGAAAGGTCAGATCTCCTGGTTTGGATAAGTTTGAAATATTGCTGCTTAATAACGTTAGTCAGTCTCGTTCCCTGTTCTTTTTTTTTTTTTTTTTTTTTTCCCCTTGGGCACCTGACAGGCCTGTTTGCTGTGGAACCCCCTATTTTACATCGGATTTCAAGCTGGGGAAAGTAGATTTTAAACTGAGGAAATATTTGGGATCAAAGGGTGAATCTTTGAAGGGAAAAAACAACAAGAAAAAAAAGGGCCACTCGCTCATCATGGTGTTATAATTCCTGTGTCTGCATTTTCCAATTTTAATGGCTTCGAATTAGAAAGAGACTGTCACATGCCATTCAAAACAAGGGCTGTGTTTCAATAGTGACGTAAAAGTAATTGTCTTCCTTCACAATGCTCTATGAAGGAAGGACCTGCGCTCAAGCAATGCACGAGCTGACTCCCTCTCAGACCGAAAGGGCTGTCAGTATTTGTGCAAACCACATTGAGGTGTATGTCTCAGCTCTAAAAATACATATATAAAAAAATAGATCCCTTAAACAGGTTCATTGCCCACAGTATTTGTCTACTCTGTGCTGCCTCTCTGACAGGTTTCAGTTTTTGTATGCCTAGCATGCAGGATGTCACGTATCGGGCAAAAATGTGACTTCTGTTGGCATGGATCATGCAAAATTTGCATTAAATGACCGCCTTTCTATTATAAAGTTACACTACTGATATAATGACTTTTATTACTAGTCTTGCTAGGAACTTCTAAAGTAACAGTAAACATTTAGAAGAAAGAATCATGTTTGTTTTTATTTTACTTATTTTGTTATTTGGAAGCCCTTTGTACACAGTCAGTCTCTTTACACTCAGTTTCCTGTGTTTGTTTGGATCGCCGATTGAGCAATCAAGGCGGCAAAAACAAGCCAAAAATAACAAACAAGCTAGTGGTGTCCAGGAGGATTTGTCAGAGGTAACCGGGAAGTTMTGGCTAAAAGAAATTACTAATTGGCTTTTTTTCAAGTTCAAGAACTTTTAAGGCTAGTTTATAAACGTATGAAATAGTAAGGAGACCAAGATAAAATAATTCGGTATGTGTTTCCATGCAGTCTACTAGTAACAGCTTGAATTCCATTGCAGCATGGATTTTCTTCATTGTACTATGGATTTTCCTTTCTGTTTTTTTCAGGCTCAATCAAACTAGCAAGTGTGGAGTCAACATCTCTCAGCTGGCTAATGGCTGCTCCAGAAAGGCCCATGGCAAGGTTAGACTTTTACCAGAAGTGCATTTAGCTCACCTTTTCCTTAAAGAGTTATCTCCACTTGTTGAGAAAGATAAGCCCCTTCAGAGTAATACAGAATCCTCCCAGAGACCAGGGATGAAAATGTCCAGAGACTGCAAAGTATGCAGCTTGTCGGGATTTGCAAATTGCCTTCAGAATCTCCCCCACTCAAATAAAGAGCTACGCAGTATGAAGAGTGACATGGGGCAACGTTGAGGACATCTCCACAACGTGGATGTTGTGGCAAAACAAATTAGTATTCATCAGAGTTGCTTCCACAAAGAGTGATGGGATGGAAGCTGCCCTGACAACACTGTTCTGGTAGATACCTCTCCCCAGAGAGATCACAGTAGATTATAGTACAGATGTTTAATGGAGCAAAGGGAGTATTGTATGTGGTGCCAGAGTTTGTCACCAATGCTCCATCAATCAGTCTGCAAACTACCCTTGAGACTAGTGTGTGACAGAATATTACAACCCTTGAAGAGTGGGAGTGAGCTTTCAAGGGCTTCATCATCTCTGGCTACCAGTTTCTCATGCTGGGCTCTGAATCCAACAATGGAAAGCCCTGAYGGGTCCAGGACTTTAATAGGCTTGTTTCTTGCACTTGTTACAGATGGCCAAATCCTAAATCATGCCTGGCTTTCTACAGGAGATCCACCAGGAATGACAGACATCAAGGAAGAGTAAGTACTGAGTCTGTTTTGAAAGACATCTGTGAAAGGATATGCATTTCAGCATATCTCAAGTGCAGCAGCTTTTTGCCTGTGATATGACAGGTCACAACCCGGGAGCCACCACACTGCCATAGTTCGTTAGTTCTGAATGATGAGGATAAATCATGAATTCCTCCAGCTTTGTCCCTAGCTGAGGATAATTTAAATCCTAACTCTGAGGAAGACAAGTGATTTACAAAAGACTCCCAGTAACAGTGGATAACCTAGAAAGCTTGAAATGGCAGCTCAATTCAGATTCGAAAGCCCTAATATCAAAATGTAATTTTAAAAATACATGCTCTTTTTTTTTTCTTCCTGATGAAAAGATTTGTTATATTTGAGGTACCTGATTCATAAGTTTCACGGGTGCAGGCRTGACCTTTTACTCTGTACTTGGCGAGTATGAAATCAAAATCTTTATAGAGGGTGTTATAGAAAGGATATGGCATATACCCACTGCTACAGAGTCTGCACTTCCCATTGCTTGTTTATATTCCCCACTTGGATTAATTTCTCGTACCTGCTTTTATTACACTTTCCTTTCTTGGGTGATGTCCAGTCCTCTCTTTCACAAGGAGCAGCTGAGTGCCAGCCCTTTGTAGAGAGCATTTGTGCATATCAAAGCTCAGAGATGAGTAGCTTATGGCTGTCCTTTAGCATGCCTTAGCTCAGTTGTGACGCTGCAAAATTGTTAGAGAAGGAGCAATTGGAAGTGTTTTTCAAAGGAAACTAAGTTATGCCAAAATGTGCTCATACCTTGCATCAGAAGTGTTTAATTAAGGTCCACTGGAGAAGTACTAAGAGCCATCCCTGGGGTGCCTGCCTACCTTGTCTTGAGGCTGAATCAACCTGTAGTCAGGAAGCAGCCTGGTTTGAGCAGCAAATATTTTCCAGAATTATTTCCATAAAGAGACTGAGAACAAGTACAGGATGTGCAGGGGGGATCAGGGTATAATGACATCCTGAGGGACTGCTGCTGCCTTTACCTGTAATCTGCAGTAATACAGTAAAAGGCTTCCTATCTTCCTGATCTTCTCTGATGTTTAGGGAGATGCAGAGACACACTGTCCCAGAGAAACTGGGGCCTTGGTATTTGTCATTGTTCTGTCTCTTGTTAGGGTTTCTTTTCTGTCTGAAACTACTTCTTTTCTTCGCTTAGCTGAACTTCTTAGTTCTRGCTACAACATCTTGTGCATCATTTGTTTGAGCCTGTTCTTTTCCCTTTGTTACCTCAGAGGAAGTAAAACAAATCTCACTTACTATCTCAGGACACAGAGGATTTGGGTCTGGCATGCAGACAGATTCAAAACCTGTTTGCRTTTCAGAGAGATAACCCCTGGCATTCAGTGGTCCCTGGACCACCTAGCCCACGAAGAGGCTCTCTTGTCTTTCCCAATAAATTACCTCACAGAGAGAAGGAACTGAAGTGGGGAGAAAAAACAGAAATACAAAGAATAAAATGAAGAGTCTATTTTTCATATACCAAGGTGCTCTGCAAGGCAGTCAGGGTTTGTGCTTCACTATGGCTGGCATTCGTACCAGAGGAATGATCTAAAAAAAATCCTGCTGCAGGTGCAATATATTTTGGCTGCCTATGTAAAGCCTTTTAGACTCATAGCAGGATATCAGGTTCACGTCTTGTTTTTCTGTGCGTGTTCTGTAATGAGTACTACTTGACAAAATGTAGACACAACTTGGTGCTCAAAGTCATTTCAAGAAATGACAGAGGAATGTCAAGGAACTCTACTGAGGCTCTTTTTTTTTTTTTTTTTTTTTTTCCTAATAAGAGCAAGGCTTATTTGAGGACAATTTAAAAATAGTCTTGAAAGTTACTCCAGGCTTTATCTCCTCTGTGCTGTTACATCACACATGACAAGAAGGAAATTCCTTCAGGCTTTAAATAAACCTATAATCATTTAATCTGTAATGGGTTCTTTTGAAATCCAAGCAGAATACGTCTTCTGTGCACTTGCACACCACTGAGGATAACTGCAGATTTCAAAGCCCTAGTGGAAGCTTAGAAAAACATGAAGATAGAAACAAGCTGCCAGGAGCAGGCTGGCAAAAAGCAGTAGGCTGAGCTGCCATGACAGAGAGCTGCAATGGCCTGGCATTGGAGTGGGATCTTCTGGTTCAGGGAGGGTGGCACCATGCAGGGCAACAGCTTCGGGTTTTGCCAGCTCCTTTTTTTCCACAGATATACATCTGAACCAGGATGGTGCCCTTTAGAAAAATGTTTAAAAACTTTTTTCCAAGTAGTGGGAAAAAAAAGTCAYTGTGTCAAAATCCATTGGACCAGGACCGTCTCTGGGGAGATGATTTCAAAATCWCCCCTGTTGCTGTGACTCCTGTGGGTTAGTTGGGACAATCCCACAACATAAAAAAAAAAGCATTTTTTTTGTGTCTGGCATTTTTTAAACCCACCAGAAGTAATACTAGGAGTTTACTATCCTGAGTGATTTGCAGGAGAAAGAACTTTGGATAGCAAAGAAAGGCTCACAACATGTTTCTCCCAACTTATTCATTTTTGGACTCCTTGGCTCCAGGTCCTCCAGGAGGGACAAATGAGCCAGGGTAAGATGTCACTGCCCTGAGGCCTATAGCTTCCCTTGGCTGGAGAGCAGCGTTAGTCCCCTCTCCATGTCTATATGTTCATACCAGTTTTCTGACAAAACCAAGCATCCTGGTGCTTTTTGTACCTTCACTTCTTTTCTCCTGTCCTTCCCTTATCTGCTTGTCAGCTTCTACCTTTTCCGCCCTCCACTGCCATTTTTAGGCCTTTAGACCACCTAATCAGACAATCTGTAGAGATTTTTTTCCTAATGACTAACAGGAATTTTATCACACCCTCTYGGTATCTGATATATTCACATTGACCACTACCCTCTGCCTGCTAGTGTAAATATTTTGATTGGTAACTTTTTTAACAGTCCACCAACAGCTGGAAAATGCTGATGACCGTATATAACTTAAAGAATTATTCTTTTTTAATATGAAACACAGTCAGGTTTTACTGAGCTGAAAATTCACAGAGAATATCTAAGTCCTTGCAGGGAAACATTTCCTTACCTAAAGAAAAAAAGCAATAGCCTTAAGTCCTTCAAAAACAGACTTATGTAATTTATTAGCACTTTCAAGTGGCCTGACAGACTCTGTATTTCCATGCTTTTTCTGTTCTCATTAACAGATACTGTATCACATTAATATTCTTTGCCCACTGACATATGGAAAATTCTATCCTTACTTATGCTTTAATGTACATATGACAAAATTACGGATTCTTGGGGCAGCCCCCTACCATTTGAGCATCCTTGTCTAAAACACAACATCAGTATCATTGCCTTCACAGCATTTTGTCAGCTTTTATTGGCCCGGCCTTTGTGTTTAATTTATTAGAGCAAAGATCGTGGTTGCCTTGAGCATGCCAGGGTGGGGGCGTGCCTCACCTTTCGGGATTCATACCCACCCCAGCCTATTTTAGGAAAAGCTGTGCTGCACATGAGACATGTTACTAGTCCCTGGCTACTGAGCCCTTCCACATCCTGGCTGTTGGTTTCTCCTACCAAACCCTCAGCCTCTGACACTTTTAGGGATGCCCAGGCAGGTATGGAGGCACTCGTCTTGACTAAAGTGACACAGGCTGTGACAATGGAAATGGGACAAGGGTGGTGGTGCTCTTCCATGCAGGCTCTGTGATACCACTGGCATTGATCCCCAAGAATGGACATGGAAAAGAAACAACTCTGGAATTGTTTGGTTAAGCCACCTACATGTCTTCCATGTGCTTTAAATGACACTGTTCCAGCCACAACCTTTTCTTAAACCAAGTCATATCAAAGGCTTTAAAAATAACTGCAGGGCTTGGGTACCTCCTGCATTCATAAACCAGTGACTAAAGCAGAAGACTAGAACATAATAGCCCATTGGATAACAAACAGCGTTGTAGCAAGGGTATTGATCTTCCTTGACTTAGGCATAAGATTTCCTTTACCATTAAAATGCAGCCATCCTGGGAAGGACARTGCATAAGAGTTACAGCACACACTGCTAAAGACAGAACAGGAGCTATAAAAGGCTATCTTCCTGTGTTAGATTTTTGCATTGAAGTAAAGCATATTTTGCAGAAAACCCCACAGACATTCTCTTGTTTGACTTAGGCTATGCATAACCTTTGAAATACACTTGACTCCTCTTTGTGAATGCCTTCCTATGTCAACTATATGAAAATAGAAAACAGATAGAGCATGCACAGACAGTGGCTTAACAAAAGGAAGAACACAATGATCAACCTAGAAATTTAATTCATCATTACTCAATTCAACATAGCATTTGACAATATGCTTAGTAAATTCATTGAATGTGTGTCCATTGACACATTTAACATAGTGAAGAAATGAAAAGATAGCGAGAAAGTCATTCTTGCTATTTGTCATTAAAAATTTTTAAAAACATGAAATGAAATATACAGGAAGAAATACACATCTATAGGTGTTTAGACTCCATTGTACATTATGAAYGTGCCGGAAGGGTCAGGCATTGTTCTCGGCGTGTTCAAAGGCTTTGTGAAGGCACTGCATGCTTCTGCAGGCATAATATTCTATTGCCAATCATCTACATATATAGAAAATAAAAAGCAAACAAGACAAATTCCACAGTACTATCACCTTAAATAATTTAATGCACATTAACGCTTTAAAAATAAGGCCTTTCACCAAGTCAAAGAACATTTATATCTTCATCATGAGAACTGTTGTCAGGTCAATCCAAGGYAGTATTGAGGTGAGTGATGACAGCTCAGTCAATTCACAGTTTTCAGAAACAGGTCTCCTTCGAAGAAAGTSCTCACGAAGAAAATCCATCACTAATATGGATGAAAAATTTGCCTTCCTCTTGCTATACTCAACAGTATCATATAGTACAGAGAAGATGGATGTATACATAAATACATCTGTTTACTAACTTGCTTCTTGCCTAACTTGAGTCATCTAACAATCAGAAATCTGATGTAAGCTCCTTTTTATAGTAAATATATATCCTCAGGAATGTACAAAATGTTTAGAAAGCTCAGTAAAAATAACAGAGGATATGAAGAAAAACCCCACATCAGAGATGTAAAAAAAAAAAAAACTATTAAATGTTAGACCAGTTCTGAATTTTCTGTTGGCTTGTTTTTGAGAGTTTTAAAGCACTCCCCACCAAAAATTAGGCTAAGCCAAATTCCTCACAGTGTGTTATGGCAGAGAGGAGCCTTTCCTTCAGTATTGCTCTAGAGCTGTATCTGGGGAGTGACAAAACGAGGCTGCAAGTATTGCTACAAGGATACCATGCRTCTGGATCTTCCTTATTAGGATCTGCAATATGAAATACAAAATATGGCAGGCCAGCTGCAGGAATTCGATCAGATCCTGACAAAAAAGCTGAGAGAAAAAAAGTAGTAGTTAATAGATGAAAAATGATAAAAACACAATAAAAAACACCACCAAAGAAAAACAAGGTACGTTATCAGAGAATGTAAATCTAGAAAGAAAGTTACTTTAAAAGTATGGTTATTTCCATAAATTATTTTTAGTTCTTGGATTTATACTTGAATACAGTAGTTTGTCTGGTAATTAATAAAGTGGTTTTGCTTTTCTTTGTAGGGACATGGAGGATAAAGTCAGGCTACCTTTGACCTTTTACGTTTAAAAAAGGATTTGCTGGATTCTACACGCTTTTGAAAAGGCTCAACTGCTTGTGTCCATAGGCATAAGGTAGGTCTCAAGCCTCTGAYCAACAACTGATATCCAGAAAAGTTGTTAAAATAATCACAAAGTTCAGGATTGTGTCAGGTGCTCTCAGGGGAATCTCAAAAGAGAAGTCAGAACTGAAYCTGTGCACGTGCCCTGGTTCAGTTTTCTCTGGCTTTCACTGGAAAATTCTGGAGGAAAAAAAAATATGGCCAAGAGCTACTTGGAACAATAATATTTTTCAGGTGTAAGCATCTAAAATGTGTGTTTCAGGGAGAAAGGACCAGAAGTTTAGAATGTCTGATACATTACCGAGAAACATTTTCTTTTTTTCTTCTGGGAGTCTGTGAAACACATTCCAAAAATTCTTGATGGTTCGATCAGACTTCTGATAATTTATGTACTGCACATTCTATTGAAGAGAATAGAAATAAAACTGCTCAGGTAATCCTTTTTCATTTACAACAACAGTTGACCCAAAATATTTTATAATCCTTTTCAGAGATGTTGAAATCCTCTTAACTCCCTGAATCTGCTTGTTTGGTTGGTTGTTTCCCCCCTCTCCCCAGCCAAGATTTATATAACAATCTTTTAACTATTATTTAATTTGTATTCCCTTTTGCTCATGTAGCTGGTATAGATAAGAAATAGATTCAAAACAGCGACAAGTTGATTAAAAAAATCCCCTGAGCAAATATTTTGGTGTTTATAACATATGCAATCCACAAAAGAACAGGACAAAGGGAGTTTATGCTCAGCAGAGCAGAGATGCACTCTGCTTGTATCTAATACCTTTTCCAGCTGATGCCAGTCATAGTTCACATGTCCCTCCAGAACAGTCTGGATCTCTCCAGGAAGAAATATCTTCCATGTTTTAGTTGGACAGCCTCTTGAAAAACCTCGCTTAAAGTCCTCAAAGGGCTTCTGAACTGATTTATTGAGCATGTAGTTCACATACAAATCAACATATTCCTTGCTGCAAAGATATTGATTCAAACACACAATGTAAGACTGATCCTTTTCAAAAAAAAATATATCTAACTTTATTCCTTGGAGGAACATATGGCCATATGTTCCAAGGTCATATGTTGCACATAAAACCTCCTTTACATTGCCTTTGTTGACAGCAGTCATCACATGCAATTAGTCATTCACTGAATTAAGCTGCTAAGACCACTGGAAATAGAAAACAATGCTGACCAGATTGGATTCATTTTGCCCATATTCATCAGACTTCATGAGAGCTCTCCTATGGATTCCTATTCAGCATTTYACCACGAAGACAAAACCTAGCAGACCAAACCAAGGAGTAAATCCAGAGAAACTCATTTTGCAAGCCAAAGAATTAACCTGGAATCAAAAACCTGGGCGCAGTTTCGCTCTTCTCTGTTCACCATGGGGAATCATTCACTGATGCTGTACCTCTGCACAAGCAGCCCAGTGTAGTGGGCGTGCTTTGAGCTTCCTCAAGAGCGCTTTTGTGGATCCATATGGGCCATCGGATCATGTGCCTAAATCCAAACATAGAATCTCCAGGCATAGAATTTCCCTCTATCCTGTCCTGGGGTAAACACTGACAAGATGTCTTACTGATGGAGTCTGTTGTTACGCGCGAGATACAGGCCATGCAGTGCAGGGCTGATGCTCAGCACTTCCTACGAGCATCACTCACCACACAAGTGCTGTGCAGGTGCACAGCTTGCCAGCATGCAAGACAGGTAAAAAAACCACGGGAACCCTAAATTCTCACAGCTCAAAGCTAACAGAAAYGCACCCCTCTCCTGTAACAGGAGGCCAAACACTTCCAAAAGACTTTGTGGGTAGATAGTGGAATGACTTTTCATRTTTCATGGCAGGGCAACAGAAACAAAACCTACCGGTTATGCTTAGTGACAGCAATGTTGCCACCATTTTCTTTAAGTTCAACGCCAACTATGGAGTTTCCTTCTTCTTCTGATGTCTATGGAAGTAAAGCAGAACATTGCAAGCTGAGCTGTAGCCGTCGGGGCACACACAGCCCTCTCACTGCACGAGCTGAGAGCAGTGGTGCCGTTTCGTGCCGATCCTGACTTGCCTACGCAAACACACAGCACATTTCAACAGCTTGATGATGTCTCACCATGAAGTACAGGCCCTCGAAGGCATCGTGTTCCTCATCCAAAATGTTCTGAAGAAGCCTTTGAAAATGAGAAGGGAAGAAAGAGCAGAGAAAAAAAAAACAGACTTCCAACGCCATTCGATGCTGATTCCAATACCCCTGTGAAAATGTTCCCTGGCAAAGAACATTTAAATGCTTATACATATGGGCCGCTCGCGGTCATGCAGCACCTTCTCTTATGGCTCTGCATTGACTGCCCTCACATCCCATTGCTGCCATGACATCCTCCCCGCTCCCTGCCCATGGGGATCACCGTGCCCGGTGGCAGGGACCATGGTGACGGCTGTACCTGCCCTCTGTGGGCCACAGCTCCTTCAAGTCGTCCAGTGTGGGCGGCTGCTGCAGCAGCTTCTTGTAGAGCGCCCTCGGGAAGGGCAAGGGCGCCGTGCAACGGTTGTACAGCGCCATGCCCAGCAGCGTGCCCACCAGGAAGAAGGCGTCGCCAGGAGCCTGGGTAAAAACCGAGCAACGAGGAGTGCAGAAGCGAGCGAGGCAAGGGAGGAGGCCGAGGGGCAGGGCCGCCCTTACCTGCCGGGGGAACCAGACCAACTGGGAGTCCAGGCGCACGAAGGGTCCGTCGCCGGGCTGGCAGAGGGCCCTGGCAGCGGCGCTGAAGAGCTCGCGGGAGAGGCCGCCGTCGTCGATGCCGGGCTCCCCGGCGAAGCTCACCTGCGGGCGCCCATCACCGTGACCAAGGCCGGGCGGCGCGGGGCGGGCCCGCCGCACCGCGGAACCTCGGCGCGCACCGCCGCGGAGCCCGGAGCGCTCGGGCGCGCGCACCGGAAGGCGCGGCGGAAGCCGCAGCGGGCGGCGCCATGTTGCGCGGCGGGCGGCGCGCGGCAGCGGCGCTGCTGCGGCGGAACCGGAGAGCGGCGAGCGGCGGCGCGGGGGGACCGGAAGCGGGACCGGGAGCGGCGCCAGCCCCAGAAACGSAACCGGAGCCGGGTGCGGAAGCGGCGCGGCCGCCCGAGCCGTCCGTGCTGCCCTTCCTGGTGTGCCCGCTCTCCAAGCGGCCGCTGAGGTGAGCGTGGGCCGCGCGCGCGGCCTGGCGCCGAGCCCCATCGCCATCCCGACACCGCCGGCTCTGCCCCGCTCTCCTAGGTACGAGGCGGCCACGCAGGAGCTCGTGAACGAGGAGCTGGGCATCGCCTACCCCGTGGTGGACGGCATCCCCACCATGCTGCCCGAGGCGGCGAGGAAGGTGCCAGCGCGGCCGGCCGAGCAGCACTGAGGGCCCCATGGCGCCCTGGCTGCCCACGCTCAGCGTRCTGGTGCCCCTGCTCGCCCTCACCGGCCTCCTCTACTCAGCCRCCACCGACGAGAACTTCCCCAAGGGCTGCACCAGCACCAGCAGCCTCTGCTTCTACAGCCTCCTCCTGCCCATCACCATCCCCGTCTACATCTTCTTCCACCTCTGGACCTGGATGGGCATCAAGCTCTTCAGGCACAACTAGCTCCTGCTTCCCCCAGGGGCTCCTTTAACCTCACCCAGCTCTGCAGTCCCAGGAGGTGGCAGTCATCGCCGCCAGGCTACCCGCACGTGACATCCCCCCTAGCAAGCCCTTACCTACCGAGTGCCAAGGAACATCTAGAGCATTAATTCTGTCTAGCAGGTCTGAGTGTTGGGTGGATGATAGCACTAGGTACCTACAGCTTTTAGGTGGTGGTGGTGGTTGCTGGAAAGCATTGTGCTCTCCCCAAAACAACTCTACATGTTCGTTTTTAACAGCAGGCAAACACAACCTGCAGTGATGTGAACTCGTCTGTAATACCAGCACAGGGTTTGTTTCTATACCTTCAACTGGTGTGAATGAAATGCATTAAATTCCCTGCTGTAACAATGTGTAATAAACGAGTTTGATGTCTGATTACAAAGTGCAAGTTAAATCAAGTCCACTTGGATGACACCTAAATGTGTACGTCCAAGAGCTGCTCTTCATCCATTTTTCGTAGGCCTCTGGTGCTGACTGCTTGGCCAGCAGCTTCTCTCTTGGAGCAGGCTGGCAAGCTTGGTAGCCACTTACACCACCCACAGCACCCCAGAGCACCTCAACAGCAAATGAACATGCCATTCACATGGGTGCCARCCTTAGGCACACCCAGCTTGATGTCCACTTGGAATAGGAGTATAACTTCTGCCCTCCAGAAATACTGTATGCCCTCCGCCCCCCATTCATTTAGTGGTATTTTGAGAGCTAGCTTTTTTTTTTCCCTTTATATGCTCACTGAACACAGTACGTGTTTCTTACAAATTTTCAGCAACACTGAAAACCAGAGACCTCTGCAGTAACGGAGTCAGCAGTAACAAAATAATAGTTTGATTACTTACTTTTAATATCCTTGTGAAGTTCTCAGGTAATGCACTTTTTAAGTGTTGCCATATGTCATGCAGAAGGTATTGCCGTCTGACTGGAAAAGCCCATGCTGTGTGTTCTGCCACTGGAGTGTTTACCTGAAGAAGCAGAGAAGTGTGTTAAAAGTGTGAATTTATCTCCAGTTATTCAAAAAAAAAAAAAAAAAAAGCCACTCTTACCACATTCAGGGAGGATCCTGTGGACAGAGCCCTGCATTCTATAGCATGAACTACAAGCTTATCTTGCATGTTGAAGATACATGGGTATTTGATCAGCTCCCATAAAACAGTCTGAAATGCCAAGAAAAAAAAGTGTTGATTTTTCTTGCCAAACAGGAGTTCAGGGCAGGTATGTGCCAACTGAACTGCTGGTTGGGACCCTGGCAAGGTCAAATGACAGGGACTACTGGGGCTGCTGAAGTAAGCCCCAGTGGGATTATGCATCTTTTGCATGATCTCAAGTAGTTAGAGGACTGGGCTAAGTGCATTGAGCTTTGTAGGCCTATAAACACAGACTGCCACGTGTATTGGTTCATTTAAACCAAGCAGAAATGGCATTGTACCAGGGGCAAGATTCCATACTTACTTGCTTCACATCCACCCAGGAATTAATTACGAGAACTTGTCTCACTCCAGGTATGTAAAAGTTGTTTTGAGATATTGCAGAACCAGCCCTGGAGTTCACCTGTGCAGTATGAAAAAGCATGTTGGCAGATCTAACAAGCTACGCATCTTGCGGTGCACAGCAGGACAGGAGTGAGCAGTAAGAGGGCTCCCCTGGCAGAGGGGGCTCTCAGGCCCTGCACACAAGTGGAAACACAGAAACCCCRCGAGCAACAGGACCCTCAACAGTTGAGAAGTGAGCACACCATGGGTCAGCTCTCTGGAAAGCGATTCTCATTTCCCGGGAGGCCCATTGGCAGGACTCCATCAGGGAGGTRTGTTTGACCCGGAGCCTCTCTTGTGCTGCAAGAGACTCAAGTTCTGCAGTCAGTCTAATATTTGGTGCCTGACAAAGGTCTGATGTTTATGGGTCTAGGAAAAAGCAGGGCTCCAAGTGATGTTACCCCATGGAGGGCTAAGCCCACAGCACTTTTATGTTTGACCCAGCAGATATATACTGAATCAGGAGTCTTAAATTTATATGCCAAACTTGCATTCTYTGCCAAGGATATTCTGTTTTCAACAACATTTTATAACTTCCTGTGATTAATACTGGGTACAGATTTGAGCTCTAGACTCCTAAATTTTGAAACATCTCAGCAGGAACAAAAGGGTACTGAGGATATAGCTGTTCTTCCCTACTTCTCCCAGGGTGAAGGATTGGACTTGCAGGAAGGGTAACGGGCCTGCTCTGCAGCAGATACAATATCTTGCATTCCTTACACCCTTGAGCATCTCTCACAGGGCTACAGCATGTGTCCAGCTCCTCACTTCTATAGGCGCCAGCCCTATGGCTGGAGTCAGAGGAGGGACTTGGGGTAGGTAGAGGTGCTCCCGGTTGCAAGTGAGCAGCTTCCAGCTATGCTGGTGTTAAGGCCAACAGCTATGCTGGTGTTAAGGCCAACAGCTATGCTGGTGTTAAGGCCAACAGCTATGCTGGTGTTAAGGCCAACAGCTATGCTGGTGTTAAGGCCAASGAGATCCCTGAAGCAGTGTCAAACAACAAGGCCCTGTGTTCCCTTGTGAGGGGCAAAGTCAGAATACAGAAAAAATTCTACTTGAGAATCCAAACCCTTTCTCACCTCAGAAAGAATCTGTAGTAGCTTCAGATGTGCCATTTCGTGGCAATGCAGATCAGAGGGGTTCCTTTGGCAACACAGCACTTGCCCGATATACCTAGAGAGACTCTTCCGGGAAGACCTCTGGTATGTGCTGACCACCTCTTCAAGGAAGCGAGGCTCCAGATGGGACCACAAGGATTCTGTAAGGAAAAACAGCTACCAAGATACCTGCCACAAGCAACAGAAGTAAGTACASTTTGTGGATGAAGCTGCATTTCCTCTTTCTAAGCTAAGCAAAATATTTACTTTTGCATTGCAAAGATTAGAAAATCCCACGGAAACCTTGTGACTATTTTTGCTGTGTAGTCCCCATGTTTCTTAGTCCGCAGAAAGCACCTCACGGCTAAATTCCTGGAGCCAGTTCCATCAACAAGAGCATCTCTTCCTCTGCAGCCCCGAACAAGCAAGCATTTAAATCATCCCTGTCTACCAACTCCAAAGCGTACCCAGAGTTTGCARGTCTTTTGCCTGCAGTTTCATGATGGCTTGTGCTAGCAGACCAAGACAATGGTAAGAGATGTCATCGTCTCCCCGCAAAAGCAACGGCAAGATCAAGTACATTCTGAAGTTTTCAGGTGAGATGGGAGACGAAGACAGCGATATCAGCAGCTTCTTAATTTTCTGCTTCATCTTGGAAAGGAAGAAAAAGAAAAGGATTAAAACTGGAATGATGCTTTGCGAAGATAACCCATGATTTAGGTTGGCAGAGAGTTCCCCAGTTTCATGCATAGATCTTCCTTTGCACATGAGCTTAGGGCACTACCTCTAAATTCAGTTCCCCAATTAGGCAGTTTTCTTACTGACTTTGGGGTTACTGATGAGTTCATTCATGTCAGTAAAAATTACCAGGTTAATTTTTCAAAGACTTTCTTCCTAAGGAAAAGAAGCCTGGCGGCTTTTTGGGAGCAGACTTATTCCTAGCACTATGACTTTATGTCCAAACACAAGGAAGGGCTTCAGCAGGAACAATCAGACTGTTCCTACCTGAAAGATCTGGGGAAGTGATACGCAGATCCAGAGGTTTCGGGTGTTTGTGTATTAACAATTTCTATACCACATCCTTACCTCTTCAAAGAGCTCAGGCTTGCAGCTGATCATCTCATAAAAACGTAGCACTGCTGCCAAGTTGACACCCGAGATTTCTTTAGATGTTCTGAAATGTCTGTCCCTAAGACAAAGGGAAGAATAACAMAACCACAAAATCATGAGAGAAGCTTGATTGTCTATTTTTTTTCCTTTGTAAAGCACCTCAACTTTCTCTCTTAGAACTGTTAAACCCCAGCTCTAATGAGCATCATTTCACCTGTCCTGCCCGGTTGCCACAGTGTCATCTGACTCATACTCTGTCCTTCCTGTCCCTTATTGCTGTTCATCATCAATGATCTGCTCTCAGCACCACCTTAGGTAGACACGCTGGGAGAAGACATTTCAGATTCTTTTGGAATTGGAGTACTACCCAAATAGGATGCTACCATCTGTCTAACATCCCTGTGGGATAATCTACTAAAATATGAGCATCTATAGCAATTTTCCAATAGAATCAGAGGCATAAGAACTATTTTTATCTTGGGTTTTTCTTTCCAAGAACACACCTGCTTCTTGCAAATATAAATACAACTCTTCTTTTTCTTCAGGCAGTGCTTAAAAGAAGCAGTAGTCAGTTCACATATAGCCAAAACATTTTATGTTTAACTAAGCACACAGTACCTCTTTTCCAAGAAGCTTCCATTGATGCACGCTTCAGATGAAAAGATGAGACTAAGAGTCCTGAGAGCAAAAAAAAACAACTTCAGTTTTTTTTTTATTCTAACAAGGGGAGAAAAAAACACAAGTATAAAAACTTGAAAAGCTTCTATCAACACCACTTTTAGCAWGACTCAATGATATTAAGAAACACTTGGAGAAATAGATAAAGCCAAGTTACCCAGGACCTTGAAATGCTCAGAATGAGCAACTTGAGTTAGATTTTTCCCACAGAAAATAACCTCCCACATGAGATCTGAAAGAAGGAGCTTTTCCTAATGCCACCAATAAGCATGAGGCTCTCCACAACCCTATTGCACTTGCTACTTTGCAAAATGGGCAACCCAAGAGATGACTCATTTCAGATGCTGGCACCCACCGTACAATTCCAGACACAGARWTATGCTGCAGATTAGGCCTTTTGCACAGAGTCGTGGTCTGCAGACCTAACCTTGCCCTGTGCTAACTTGTTAAGCCTTGGTCAACTTAGCCCTGCTTCTGTCCAGTCAGAAGAGGATAGGCTGYCAAAGCCAGGCAGTCAGCATCCCTGCTCTTCAGCAAGGCCCTACTGAAGAGCTGCTGCTTACCAGCACGTCTTTTCCCAAGACAAAAAAAAGGAGGAAAAGAACAAAAAAGGGGAAACTTGACACCTAGCCTTTGCTCATTTCTTGAACAGCAACTCCTAGCAGAGTCTCCAAGGGAGAACAATTTTCAGTGAAAACTATGCATTGAGTTAAAACACACACAGGCTCCTGACTTACTTGMTGTTCCCCCACTTCCGCAAATGGGAAGCAGAAATCCAGACATCCTCCACAGTGGCAATTCTATCCAAATTAGCATAGCAGTTCTGTATGAAACATATGCACATAGTGAGGAGAATATAAGCGTAGCACGTAGGACTTGGTTTTTCAAGCTGGTCATTACAGGAAGTTTTCAGCAAAAGCCTAAATATGGCCAAATTAATGGTCATCCAGCGTGATTGGTAGATGCATGCAATACAGAACAGAAACCAAATTGCATATGAGTGTTTTCTGCACAGAAACACAAGACCTGCAAAGAGACACATGGGAACTTGAAGCACTTACAGAAGGATGGAAAACCCGAGTTACAAACTACAGTTGCTTTTACTGATTGTAAGTCAAGATCTAATATGCACACATACACGTTTCTTCAACAGCAGAACAATACTTTGATCGCCTCCTGCAATAATTTTAATCTCCTTTTTGGATGTACCGCTCCCTGTGAAAAAATAAGCAGATTTAAAAAGGAACATTTCGAGTAACAGTCATCACCTGTAGCGAGTTCAATGCAAGTGCAATTTAAAAAAAGAAAAAAATCCTCCAACAGTAGCTCTTTGTTTATAAGAAGATTTTGTGGTCACTAACTATGATAAATCACGTAGCAAATGGAATCATCCTGCAAACTTTTTAACCTAGGTCACGGTAAGCTGTTAGTTTATCTTGTAYGGGTGGCAAGAAATAGCCAGGAATTAGGTTGATTAGGTTGACAATTCATCTTTCCTACTAAGGTCGTGGAAAAATTGGGGAATGCAAATTAAGTACTCAGAGGCAGAGCTCCCTCTACAGACTGAGAAAGTAATTGAGCAGTTTTGSAGACATCTCTCAAATCTTCTGTCTGCAGAAAAACCTCCGTTTTTAAGCTGGAAACAAGAGAAAGCAAGTTCTGTATCTTTAGGAAAGTGTGATTCTTGTGGTTTGCCCAGTGTGAGCAGAAGGGGCACCTTGCGATCTGCCTGAAAATGCCATCTTCCACACAKCACCCTTCTACCTCACCTGTGCCCACACAGTTGCAGAACTGACCCTCTTCATCCTCCTTCTCCCCACCTTGGGAACAAAGATCAAGCTTTGTCCTCAAGCATGTTTTTCTTTTTTTCCCCTCCCACACTTACTACATTCTCCACATTAAACATGAAGAAGTATTATTATTAATGCAAATCAAGAAAGCAAACACTTGCCTTTTATAACTTTGAAGAACTGAATACGAATTATACAAGTGCACAGTGAGCATTACCTTGATTATGTTTTCTGCTATCCACAGGTAAGTTGACTGGAAGGGGTATCAGCTGATTAGACTTGCCCTCATTTCCCAGCTGTCCTTCTTCTCCTGAACCAAATGAGTAGACTTTGCCCAAGGCGGGGACATAGACCAGAGTGTGTCGTCTGTTCAGGAAAAGAACAGGCAAAATAAGCCAATACCGTGGAGCTGCTCAGCACAAAATTTACCAATACATTTAGAGTGGGTAGCTGAGGCCTGTCATAAAAATCATAGTGCAACTATAAAATAATCTTTAATTAAATCCTTAGGATCCTTTTTTTTTTTTTCATAAATACATAAAAAACCCTCAAATTTGCTGTACCATTTTCTGTTTGTGATTTACACTGGTTCTGTATATGAAAAGGAAACTTTTCATATACATAACAGCTTTGCTAGCTGTCTCCTCACCCATTTGTTCAAGTACAGTTATCTCTTAGCCTGTGCTGTGTGGTAGATGTCAACAGGAGACTTTGTGGCCCAGTTCCAGAAAGTCATCAGAATCACAGTTTTTGCCCTGTTGGGTCTCTGTTCCAGCCACCATCTGGTCCAAGTGGATGGGACCTTGGTAACATTCCCGGATCTGCCTTTTTTACAGTCATTTGTGCTGCAGAAATGAGCACATTTCATTTTTGAAAGGACAAGAGCAAAGGGCTGCTGGTGACTTTGGAAACAGTTTTCCTGCTCAGCACTCACCGAGGCCTCTGCCTCCCCAGGGGTTATTGCCAGAGGGGACAGACCCATGAGGAATTGACGATACGGTGACAGTCATGAGCTGCTTCAACACAGGGATATTCACAACATGGTGGTGACTCCTCTCCCTGCCACTGCTCACCAAATCCCCTAAGACTTCAATTTAGATGCCATTTTTCTGGTCTTTTCCCACCTTCCACAGGCCACCTGGGACACTCTTGCTCCCCACAGCTCAGCCACCACGCGAGGGGTTTCTTCGTTGCGGGTTGAGTTGTGACCAAGCTGTCCAGCCTCTCCYGCTCCAAAGGTGCACACCAGCCCGTCCTGGGAGCAGAGGAAACCACCAGGATCACTGCACGCGGTCACCACAGAGAGCGCAAGCGAGGCACAGCACACCCCACGGGCCATGATTCCACAGGCCACTCCATCATTTTACCCATTCAAACACAGCTAAAGTTCTCTTTGCACAAGCTTAAACTTATTTTGTTTTTATGTGCATGTGCTTTAGCTCTTGAGAATAACTCTGTTTAAGAATTCTACTTGTGTATGAGCAAACCCCAGTGAATTGGGTACTGTTGACATTTACTGAAATCCCCCAAATGCCATAAAATACCAAAGATGTTCAAAGAGGATATAGAGCTAAACTGCATGATGTGGCTGCAAGATTTCTGTTCACTGTCTTTCTACAGATTATCTGCAGGCAGGTGACAGCAATCAGATGAGTTTTCCAGAATTCTGTTAGGAGCCCTGGGAAACCGTCTTTGGATCCCAATGGAGGCAGGTCTGACCATTCGAGTTTCTCTGCTCTAGCAGCCAATCTTCTGTCACAGGGTGAGATCTAAGGTACTGAGTTCCAATTCACATTCACCTTGGAGAGAACTGCGGTGTGATCTGCCCCACACGAGATAAACACAGTCTTCCAGTGCTGTAAGGCTGCAACATATGAGGGGCAGTCCCTGCCTGGAAACAAAACATAACACGGCTAAAGCAAGAGAGTACTGGGGAATCTCACGTAAGTAACACTTCAGAAAAGACTTCAACCTTTTCAATCTTTTTTTGAAGCAGTTCACAACTTGGTTTTGAGTCCTTTTCTACCCTACACTGTAACACACTGCGTCATAACTTGGTCTTATTCATAGTATTTTCTTTTTTAGTTTAGGTCAGATCAAGACTTGCACATGGAGCTGCCAAAAGGTAGGTTCCTACATCCATACTTGGCTTTGAAATACTTGATGTTCAAGGTCCTGGGCATGTCAGTCTCCCACTGATTTCAGTTCTAAGTTGCAAAAGCAACTCTAGGCTTTTAGGTTTGAAGTTATAGGGTGATTTTAATTCTTCTCTCACCTTGTATTTCCAAAAAATGAGGAAGGCAAAAAGGTATAAAATGAATTTCCATGGTGCAAGACTGGAGAAATAACAGAACTGTAAAGAGATCTGAGACAGCTGTATCTGTCCATGCTATCACATCAGCCACATAAAATGATTTTAAGTTCTACACTGTACCAGTATAACTGCACACCCCTTGTCCTGCACGTGTTTGCTAACCAGGATACAAGGGCTTGCATGTGAGGAGCACATCCAGATGTACTTCTACCTCTCTYCTACCTGCTGCTGTCTCAGGGGCCTGGCAGTGCTGGCTTCTGCGCTAAGCACCCACTGGAAAAGCAGCTCCTTACTTGGGTGTCATGCTGCCAGCTTTCCTCACCTTCTGTGTGCCCGAGTCCCAGCTGCCCAGACTCGTTCTTCCCCCAGGAGTAGACAGCTCCGGAGAAGGACACGGCGAGGCTGTGGGCTCCTCCCGCGGCCACCTGAGCGAGCGCGATGCCCTTGAGCCCTTCCACGAGCTGCGGCTCCCRGCTGCTGCCCACCTGCCTTCCCACTCCGAGCTGCCCGTGGGCGTTGCGGCCCCACGCGAAGAGCTCCCCTCCTGCACGGGGCAGCAGAGAGAGCAGCTCCAGCACGGCCCTGCTCTGGGGCAGCTGGGGCTGCCCTCTGCCCAGGGAACAAAGCAAGGGGACAAGAAGCTACCTCTCGACAGCGCCAGGGAGTGATGGTCCCCACAGGCTATCTGGACAATGTGGCGGTCTCCCAGCTCTACCAGCAGCCTAAAAGGGAGGAAGACTTGGGTGAATAGGAAGATGCATCTTTAGACAGCGCTCGCCCCCACGGCCTCGCCAAGAGGCTGCACAGCGTGGGGCGCTTGGGTCATTCTCCCACAGCCCACCCAAGTCACAGGTAGTTTTTAAGTTACTTGCACCCCTCTGGAACATGTCACAGATCCKTAGTGAGTTTAAGGAGAACCTGTATCATGCTCATCTCTAACAGCCCATAACTTTGCACTAGCCTCAAAAATCAGGGCTTTTCTTGCTACATAGAAAAAAAGAATAATTAAAAAAATAAAATAAATAAAAAAAAACAACGGGGACCTGGTTCAGTCTCCCAGGTACTGCCTTTCCAAAGAGGGGAAGAGGTCTCTGGCATTACCATCCACACATCATGCAAGCCCCTTACCTCGTCTCAAAGCGGTTAGGCGAAGCTGTCGGCCAGTGCTCGCAGAGCTTCCCGTCAGAGGAGAGCAGGAGCAGGTGTGTTGCCTCGCAGTCCAGGCATTGCACCTTCTCCTTGCTCCTCACTTCCACGTATCTTTCCAAGCCCACTGGGACAGACACAGCTGTGAGGCTCGGGCAGCGCCATCAGAAGTGGGTCTGCCCCCTCCTCAGACCCCCGCGTGCCCTGCGCCTCAGWAATGGGCACAGGGAATGCGCAGCAGATGCCGTGGGCCCCCTTGGGCGCTGCGTGTCCTCCCTGCAGCTCCCAGCGCTCATGCCCTCTTTAGCTGGCAGCTTCCAAACCGCCCAGCCGGGAGTTACCTTCGGGGCCGGAGAGCARGAGCAGCCCCGAGGCCTCGAGGGCGGCGAAGCGGCCCTGCTTGCAGCAGACCTGGCACAGCCCCTCGAGCTGCCGCCTGAAGCAGCCGGGCCGCCGGCCCGTGGCTCCCGGCAGCACCAGCAGCCCGGGCACGCCGCCCGCAGCCATGGCGCCCGAGCGAGCRAACGGGAGAGCCGGAGCGGGGCCTGCCCACGAACAGAAAGCGAAACACACCACTCCCTGGTTTCGTTTCCTTCTCTTGCCTTCTCCAGCCCCAAAACGGCACTGGCTGGGTTTTATCTCTTGCAACACAACTCTCAGAAGCGTGTTCATCACCCTTGCAAACCTGTTAGCTGTGGTATTCTTTAGCAATCTGTAACCTCTATAGCAGCTGCATGAGAATAACCCATGGCAGCTATTTYTTCAGTGTAATTTATAGAGTAATTTTATTATTATCTCTGAAGAGGTTTCCCTTCAGCTTTACTGACTGTTTATGTAAAAAGAATAAGTCTTTGAGCTTATGTAGTGAAGTAAGCATTCCCACTACATACTTTCATTTTGCCTTCTGGGAATCTTCCACTTTCATAAAAGAGTAATTTACATYCTTTTCAGCTCTCCTTTTCCAAGTTTTCTTTTTACCATCATCAGAGCCCTTGATATTCAAAAACCCTCAGCTATGTAAAAAAATTTTATTTTCAGCAAATCTGAAACACCCTTTTTGAAGGCCTCCACCATCATTATGCTCCCTATAATGAAATTGCAGCATTCCCCATCCCTAAAACACCAAAGGCCTTACCTAACTATACAGCAACATCATTGCCTAGAAGAGCTGTCTTGACTAAGCCTCCCTTACAAATAACAACACTATATTTAAAAATACAAAAGCTTTTAAAAGAATGACCCTATTAAGAGCTGGTTGGTGACCCCCCACCTTTTATTGCCCTCATCTGCACAGGTGGAATTTGGGGTGGGGGTGAGCCCTAGAGCCGAGTGATTGGCCAGCGAGAGGGAGTTGGCTCCGTTTGCTGGGGATAAAAGCCCCATGGTGGGGCTGCCTTCTCAGTTGGTAAGTGCTTGTCTGGGTAATGGTTTTGGGGGATGCTCTTGTTTGGGTGGGTAGGTGGGTTTCTTTGTTGGGGGTGGAGGAGAGGAGTTTTACTGGTGGAGGATTGTGAGGTTTACTGTGCAAGGGTTGTTCTCTCTTCTGCTTTGACTCGTTTTATTGTATCTGACCCTTGATGCCYTCTCTCACAGAGGGCTGTGTGCTGAAACTGCAGTAGCTGAGAGGGTGTCCTGCACCCTTGGTGGCGCTGACCCTGGGYTTCCCCCTGAGGCCTGGCCATCTCYGAGTCTGCACAGCCCTAGAGAAGGACAGGGACAGGGTGGGRAATATGTATTTTAATATTTATACTAATTAGGTGTGTATGTTTGTGTGYCCATGTGCATAGTTTGCATGAGGTATATGTGCATCCATCTCTATAGAGGTCTGTGAATGTTTATGTTGCACATATAACATGTGTATAATATATTATTGCATATCTAACATRCATATATGTTCATCTATCTTCTGTGTATATAGTTTTGTGTAAATAAACTCTCAGACACCTTTATATCTAGACTGGTATCACTATGTGCATGTATAGAATTTGTATATGTGCCTAAGTGTATATACCTGATAGGAYTATATCTTCACATAGCTTCATACTTCAATATATGTGATATATTGAACCATGTTGGCTGTACATGGGTTTATATAGATTATGTCTATACCTGCATATGCACACACTTACATATATGGAATTCTATCTATATAAATAGAATAGTGTGGTAGGTATGACTAAGCAATATYGAATRTATTTCTCTGTTGAATTCAATTAAAATATAATGTCTAATTGTGTATATCTGCACACATGCCTATATAGCATATTCATTATCTATACCTTTATTATCTATAAGGGTAAAAATCAAAAACTACGATGTGTTTTTAACAAKGTCTTATATAAAAGAAATCATGACTGGGTGCAGATGGAGGTGTATTTTCTGTATGACATTGAAATATAGGGTCAATAAATTTTTTTATTGTTTAATGTATATGTAGTCATACAATCTATACCCATACATGTGTGTTGGGTATRTTATATGTACATGTGTACAGATACAGTGTAACTTGTGTGTACATGCACACATGTAGATATGTGTATTAGTATCCTAAGTTAAATGTATGTATGTCTATCTACAACATGAGTGCCTATATAGCATACATGGTGTAGACAGATATGGGCAAGTAAATGTATGTCYACATATAGATTGTACTTCTAGCAGCATCATCTGTATATACTCATATGCACATGTGTATGCCTATAGAAATGGATGTTTTTGTAGAAGATGTAGGTATATAGGTAAGTATGGGCATACATGTATTTGTGCCTGTGGTCATGCAATGCATGTAGGTACATGTGCACATACTAAAGATCATATATTCCATAGGTGTGCTTGTATATGGTGTCTTAAATATACCACACATATGTAGGCAGWTAAGTGCATATATGTATTGCATATGTCATATCTGATATATGCATATATGTCTTTAGATACACAGGTACATTATTACACACTGTATAGACCTACAAGCCCCTCAAGATATGTACAGATGTATCTATGTTTACATAGGAATCTATATATCCCTATTGATAYACACAGAAAAGAAAAATCCATATTTCTTGTCTACTTATGTGTGTATGCCATATGCAAGCACATCTGTCAATTACTGTGCAGGTATAGGTGTACATACATCAACACAATTTGAGAACATGTGCCTGTGGAAGAACACAGATATATATGTGTACAGATAGGAAAGTGTTTTGGTGTGTGGGAGTGTCCATGGAAGTATATACCCACATGTGTAGATGATCTGGGGGCACACAGCTGTTTCTGGTACATATGCACGTGTGTACTGCTTATATGCTATATGTGCATATWAGTATGTGTTAGCATATATCACTATGCAGATAGCTAGGTGAATGTGTATGTGTAGATGCATGTACTTTCCATATGTATGGGCACATCTACCTGAAGATCTACACATGGATGTCTGCTGTGCGCCGGTCCGCTGGACACGTGAGCGGCTTGGGAGGCGTGGGAAGCGGCAGGACCCAGGAGCAGTGACAGCCCGGACGCTTGGCTGCGCAGCATGCAGGGGAGCTGGCCCAACCCCCTGGGTGCAAGGGTGGAAAGCAGGTGAAGAAATGCCCCCACTGTAATGGATCACCGTGTGTATAGAATGGATATATTTTGCAATGCAGTCTCTAGGTCTTTATATATGTGTATACATATGCATTGCATATCTTAATATAGATAAAATTGTATGTCTAATAWTATGTATAGTAGGTATATAGGTATTGTTATAGAAATCTTGGTATGGAACCAGTTTTGTTTATCTATGTATACATGCTTGTATAATGTATATTTGTGCACATGCCCATTTTGCATGTGAATTCTATATATAAGGGTGAGTATATAAGGCTTGAATGTTTTTTAACAGCGCATTCTATCAAAATAACCATCACAAGTGGGTGCCTATCATGTGTAATTTATGTGCCATCTAACACCATGTATTAACCATATACATCTATAATAATCTTTGTGTAGTTGTACAATGAATATAGACTTATGTGTGTTAAATGTATAGGAGTGTGTATAATGCACTATGTTTTTGAGAAAGTACTTGAGCACATATGTAGATCACTGTATGYTTGTATTGGGTGTTACATCCCTATGATATACAGGTATGTAAGTATATACATACTTAGATGTTGTGTGTAYACACCTGTACAGTGATACTTACTCAGCTACCTGTGTATATGCCTAAACTCATGTAGAATATGTACAAACTTGGACACAGCACATACTAGGTGCCCATGTGCCCAAGTGTTATATGGCATATATGTTGTACATACTTGCTTGCACATGTGTGTCTCTAATAAAATTTTTAGCATTGTTCTGTTATACACATTTATGCCTATAGATGTATATTTTAAAGTATATATGATAGATATATTGGTATGCRTATGTAAATGTGTATGATCATGCAATATATGTAGATGTGCATATTTAAGATATAGTATGTATTATGTAGGTGTTGTAGTGTAGCCATGGTGTCCTTTGAGTACCTACCTTCATGTAGGTAAGTGCCTTTTTGTTTTCTGTATATCTCTGAGATGTAGGTATGCAGATGCTCACAGCTATGTGTGTATATATAGTGTGGAAGTATATACCTACGCTATATCTACACCCATGGATATTTCATATTTAGTTATATACTGTGTATGAATATACAACCTTTTATTCATGTTGTATATAAGTTTTTAACAGCCCATTCATATTACTTCTCATGCACATATATTTAGACGTGTATTTTAGATACACCAATAGGTAACCTATATTTATGTGAAGGGCACATGCTCCCAGTATCTTCTATATAAGCATATATCTACCTAGGTATGTATGTAAATGCCACTTTAGTATTATATATAATATATAGGTATTTGTGAACACAAAGCTAAATATATGCTATATGGTCTCTCTCTGGGTAAGGGGGGAGCCACCTTACTCCGTAAGGGGGTAAGGCCACCAAGGCCTTTGTGATTTGGGGTATGTATGCTAGATCGGTCTATGTACATATGCCTTATGTATATAATACACCACCGACAGTGTGTATATCTGTGGAATGTAGACAAATATGCATTTTCTACATTAGATATATAGAACAGGTATGGCTGTCATGCACAGTGTATTTGGCTTATATCTACGTGGTATATGAATAAAAATTAGAGGTGTGTGTATACAATATAAATGTACATAAACTTCTTAGCTACTACTCTCTAGAGATTCCCTTTTTTCACACAGTTATGTAAAAGTGCACAGCGACTTCTCCATCGTTGTCCGATCTATACATTACAAGTATGACAGATTGGCACAACCACTGCTGTAGTGGAGGTTAACAGCTGCCARGGGCTGTATAGGTATCTACACACATTGATGTAGATACCTGTAATAAACAGAATACCCACATGTGTGTCTAGGTACATAYGTTTTCTGGTCTCATGCAGATGGTGTCTTTGTGTAAATCCATATCTAAGCACATGTATAGGAACATGTACATAGCATGTAACTATAGCTGGGCCTGTTGCCTATATTGATGTATTGTGTCTGTCCACCTACCTTCAGGACACAACTTGGACACAAACTGACCCCAAACACGTGCAGTCAAAATAGCTTTAATTTTCTTGTTTTATATAAAATACAATCATGTACAAAAATGTACACATAACATTTGTCAATCCATTTACATTAAAAGACACCATAGATAGAAATTAAATTTGCTTACATCAATCATGTAAACATAGACCCAAGCCCAAATCTGCTAAGGTGTCCAGGGCTGTGGAATACACTGGTTGCAGGAGGGTGACGGAGGTGCTTCATGGAGCAAATGGCATCTGCCAAGTTGAGAATTTCCTTGGAACAGAGCCAGGCACCAACCACTGGTTTTGTTGCCTTCAGATCTCCAACCCAGTCACATGGGACTATATACAGTCATTTGGGAAAACAGATCCTGTTGGATGTATGTACATAGCCACATACCAGAAGCTGTTTCACCAGTGCATGCAGGCGTGCAGGGATGCGGCTCGCTGACCACCGTGTGGGCGCAGCCCTGGATGCCTCCGGCACGGCCGCGGGGAGGCTGCGCAGAGCCCAGGAGCTCTTGGCAAGTTCTCCACATGTCCCGTGAGCTGCAGAGCAGCAGAGGGGGGCAGCTTTTATTGCTGGAAACACAGGGCAAGYGGTTGCACATCCCAACCACCAGGGCCTTGGGCGCTGCACATTGTGATGGTCAAGGCCAAAACCACACTGGCCTTGGTGGCCTTGCCCCCTTATAGAGTAAGGTGGTTGCCCCCTTGCCCAGAGAGAGGGACAGCAACAGACCAAGTCTGCATCAGGCAGTGATGATCAACACACATCTGTGGGGCTTACGTGGGAACAAATAGCTTCAAATACATTTTTGAAAAAAATCTGATTAAGCCTAATTGGTGTGGATCACAGATTCAGCCTATCTATCTTTTTAAGAAGGTAACACAAATCTATACTGCCTCTTCTTGGATGGGCATAGCATTAGAAAACAGTAAAATGCAAAATGTCTACATATTTTATATATGTAATATATAATGAGTGTCCAATTGCATTCTCAGCATTGCCTACCTCAAGCTGTATGGATTATTTAAATGTTTGCAACACAAAACCTGTGCAGAGGCTGAACTCCTTTGCTCCCAAGTGTGCAAAGRCCATATCTATCAGAAGAGCATCACATTTAGTATTAATACAGCCCATCTCTTTCTAACAGCTACTTCTCTCCAGAGTAAGGAGGAGGGATTTGTCTGTCCCTACGTGACCTTTGCAGCCAGCCGTGCATCTCCAAATGAAAAATACAAAGGGAGCTGGTGCATCCACACGTGTTCCTGTCTCATAGCAAGGGGACTCCTCTCCTGCTGCAGCAGCCTCTAGCTGTCCTGCTGGTCCTGCTTCCAACAGCTGTTTTTGTATCACGTACTGAGAATATTTATTCCAGTAACTCCAGCTTGGACATTGGAACCTGTAACCACTGCCATGACAGGAGGCAGTTGCAGCTCCACCGATTGTGCTGAGGAGCTTTGCCCCCCAGGAAATAAAGCCAGAGGAAGGAAGAAGTTATTGCATTGCTCCTGCGCGGGTGCCCACATTAGGATCTGGCAACTAATATGCCASTATTTTCATTTCCAAGTGCAAAGGTAAGTTCTCCATCCACCAGTGAACAAATGAGCTGATTCCCCTTTCAAGCCTTGGCTATGAGGAACAGACTTGGACTCAAATCCCCTCTCTCAACCGTCAAAAATGCTTGGATCTTTCCCCAAGAAATGGAGAATGTGAGCGAGTCCAGCCTTGGGGCCAGTGCCATTAACCGGCCGCTGCCCTGGCTGCCGGTGCCGGCTCAGAACAGGGCCCCACAGACCCTCCCCTTTCAAGTGCCCAGTGACCCCTGCGCAGACGTGCCCAGGAAGGACTCGGGCGGGCGGCACTTCCCGCCTGAAACTTGCATAAACCACTACTAACAACCCCTGTCTTAGCAGAACRATTAGGGCGTATGATGCTTACAATGCTTTAATTACACTACCTTTAACATGAGCATCCATTATTTGACTCTTTACTCTGGAGTAAACAATAAAAGTAAATGCAAGGTATGAGAATGAGGCRTTTTTCTCCATCTTTAACTCTTGCAATTTTGTGTTGCCCACACCCAGCCCATCTCATTTATTACCCCAGCAGACGGTAACGCACCAGCGTGTGTCTGAAAAGCCCCAGCTCTGGGGAAGCCGGTGGCCCCACAGACCACAGTGCTGGCCTGCAGCAGGCATTGTGGTCTAGTGACACGGAAACAGGTTGTCTTATACTAACAGCTTATTTATATCACATAAAGTAGAATTTGTACAGTACTTCACACCTTACAGAAACACTTGCATTTAGCATGTTCTCCCGTCAAGCTTGATTGCAGTTGGCAGGTTCACTCTAATGGCTACAGGTGAAATCACACAGGAAAACTGATTATTCATCAGAAAACTGTTGCTTGGATTGATTTAAAGGAGTGTTGCAGGGCAAACACTATTTGCTGCTATTCTGTGATTAGCAGGAAACCCTTGGCTAATTTTTCAGATCATTTGTGGGTGATACAAAGACACCAGTGTATGTCAGAGCTTAGTCTTTTGGCCCTCATCATGTGCAGCCCTCATCCTTTCTTGTCCTGGGAAGAGGGGAGTTCCAGTCTCTTAAACCCTGGGCAGAAAGCTGAGTACTTGTACATACCTCTCCACAACTGGGATTTTAAATTTCTCCTGTTGTTTGGGATGGCCCTTCCTCGCAGTCTCCTTCACGACTCAGCAAGTGAGGAATTTTTGCCAACAGCTTCAACAAGAGAGATGGCCAACTGTGTCCATTTTTAATGTACAATTTCAGATAATAGGTTTTGTTACTTTTAGCTTTCAAACTTCAAAAATATAAACTCTCTAAAGTGCATAATTGTACTTACATTTCATATAAGCTATCTGAAATTCTAGTATTATGCATGTAAACAGCAGTAACTAAGCATCCAGAAAATGCTACAATCTCACCGGTTTCAAATAAAATGGACTGTCACTACCTATCATGTATCAAGATTTGTCGGGGCCAACCCCACCCTAACAGTTAATTTATCAGTACACAGTGCAAACAGGCTTTGAAAAAGGAAGTAGAGAAAACTATTTGCAGCAAGTCTTGGCCCACTGGAAAATGTATGAGTGGAAAGGCAAGAACTCATGTCCTCCTCCAAGACACCCAGAGGTGCTGGGACTCCGCAAAGGGGGCCGAGCTCGAGGCACGAGCTTGAGGCACAACCTCGCCCCATGTGCCTGCAGCGCGTGRCCGAGCTGGGCCCCCCACGGCAGCAGTAGCTCTTCAGAAATATAAAGTTCAGCCTACACTGGTCTTATATACAAACAGCAATTCTGCAATGAGCAGGAAACAGCACAGAAAGTCCTCCCTGTCAACGCTTCTACTGCTGCCACTGTCAACACTTCCACTGCTGCCACTAACAGATTAATGCTGCTGCACGCACCCAATCACACTACTGATGGGCACGTGTAAAAGCAAAAGGAAAAYGTTATTTTTTGAAGAGCTTATGGGCTCCTGGGAGATCAAAATGGCTCCAGCATCAGTTTTAGCAAGGATTAACACAGGGCACCAAGTGGAGGGAAACGGTTCTAGGTAGCACAACCAAAATAGATGTATTTGTGGCTCCGCGGGGGAACTCGCCTCTCGCCTCTGTGGCTGCCAYGTACGCAAGCACGGGCACTGCGTTTCACTGCAGCCTTCCTGCTGGAGCACGTGAGCTCGCCCAGGGACTCACACAAGGGACACAATGAACAGAAACGCTCCCTGCGACACCAAGGTTGAGTCCTGCTCCCACAAGTTGTGTGTCCCGCCCTGGCTCTGGGCTGTGTGAATTTGTGCATGCTGGGGAGCGCGAGGCAGAGCCCAGATGGCCCCACAGACCTGGGAGCTCTCAACTACTTCACACATTTTCAACCTCCTTGCCTTTTACTCCTCCATGCAAAAACTGTCTGACATCAAGGATCTGAACCAAGTGTCTATAGTTATCCCAAGACTTTCTTTCCTGTAGTTATCCCAAGACTTTCTTTCCTGAGGGGCCTAAACAAACCTTAAAATAGGTAATAGCCAAAACCTGCACCTGACAAACTGACCATGGCATGGGCAGAACGTGGTTCTCGGCTTTCAGTTCCCTGCAGTATCCTGGGCTCTCATGTGCTCTGTGCSCCGCAGTCACACCGGCAGCACCGCACACCACAGCCCCACTGACTGCGTGCGCCAAGGAACAAAAGCTGGGCTGCCAAGTACTTGCCCCATTCAGCTCAGGATCTTATGTCAGCATCAGATGATGAAGCACCTGGATTAATGGAGCCTCTCTCCCAGATACTTGATCCCAGAGATTTATTTGAGCAGATACCAAGATCCCAGGGGATTTGGACTTGCAGCTGTTAAAACTTCTTTCTTCCTCGTCGCCCAAACACAGCCATAACGTTACAGTATCACCTTCCAAGTGGATCAAGAAGGCGAGTGTGCTGCCGAACAGCTCACTTCCTTTGTTATTCCYACTACATGTAGATACTTCATTCTACTACAACTGAATTACCAGTTAAAAAAGTGGGAAGAAAACCCAATTCCAGCCTTGGCAGAACTGTAACTCACACCAGCTCTGGGCTCTGACCAAGACAGTCTTCCAGCCATTTATATGGGGTGACTGAAGAGGCTGCACTCCAAATGGTCAGGTTGAAAGTCTGAGCTAACCTTTAATGTAGCTATGGGAGAACAGTCTTAGTGCCAGCTGCATCTGACCTGTGCCCTCCTGTTACATCCGTCAGCGTACTTGTCYGGTAAACTCAAGTGGAAGGTATTTGAGGATTTAATCACGATTCATCCTAATTTGCSTCTTGCTATGATATCCTGTGGAAAAAAAAAATTAAAGCAAGCGTGGCTTTGATATTCTAAATGTTACAGGATCTGTAAGCAAATCAAAACGGAAGGATCCCCTCAGTGCCGTTGCTGAGTGCAGCATCACATCTCCTACACTTACAAATTCCATTTGGGCATTTGACCTGCAGACAGAGAGGACAATAGCAAGTCCCAAGAGTGATGGAAAGTCACCCTTCCTCCCCCCCACCKCTAGGAATGGCCTTTTATTTCCCAGAGAGCTCCTCAGCCCTCCCCAGCCAGGCTTCTGCTGCATTTGCTTCATGCATTTGTCCGTTTGGCGCGGTCTCTTTTCATTTACTGGCGAAAACAATCTCCTYGTTTACATGATCTTGGAGCTAATATCTCTTTTACTGATCAGGACCTCCAGCAGCCTCAGCTTGGCCTTAACCTGCTTGTATTCGTTGTATTCTTCTGCCATAGGAGTGCGATCTTCTTTCTGCACATTCCTGGTGGGAGAGAGAGGTGGCCATGAGCCCTCCCGCACCCGCAGAGCTCCCCTCGCTCCCTGCTGGCGGCAGAGCAGCTCCCCCTCCTCTGCTCCCCAACACAGCACAGAATCAATATTTTCATATTTTGAGGGAGAAAAACAAAACCTAARCAGGTGGGAGGCACACAAGCTACTCCAATGAAATGTAGGATACCTGCATATTGAGGCTGGGCACAATCTCACTAAACAAAATGCGAAATCTTACTTGGAACACGCCCTACTTCACTGCCTCTACACAAAAGCTGAGAAAAAGAAAACAAACAACAAAAAACAAAACAAACAARCAACCYCCCACARCTCATTCAATTACAGGAACCAGCAGAGCAAAATAAAATACAGCGGCTTCCCGCTGGGAACCACAGCAGTTCAATGCATGCACCTATCTGTGAAAGGGAGCAAGATACCTGATCRGGTCAGATATGTTAGCTGATGTGAAACTGTCTCAAATTTTTAATGATTTTACAAAAACCTCTAAGGATGATGCTGGTGGCTAAAAGTTAACTGGATAATTTAAAGAACATATATATCTTAAATCCTTTTATCRGGTCATTCACGAGGGACAATTTCTAATTACAAAACACATACACACAGCCACAGTTAAACAGAGGTGCCTGTTAAACCTGTGTCTGAACAGCAAGAGTACAACACAGATCTAAACATACTATATTCTTAGGAATAAAAAAGAATTTTTTTTTAYCATGGAGCAATTCTTCCATCATTATGATCAATTGTGCTGGAGGAAGCTGATTTCCTCCACTTATACCTGTGCTTCCCACTGCTTGTCCTAGACAACTCTCACAAAGAGCTGTAATCCCTAAAGGTTTTGAAAAAAATTCCTGTAATGGGCAACTGTAATGACTGTGGGTAAAACAATAATGATGTTGTTGAAATATGTATGAGTGAATTCAGAGAGCTTTCCATATTTGCAGCTCTCTCTAGATGCCAAACAGATTAAGAATAGCTGAAAGATAGAACGATAATTAAGAAATTATTACCTTCCATTTTGTCGGAAAAAATTATCTTCAAAGTCTCTCAATTTTTTTCTAATTCGCTTTTTCTCTTCTCTGACTTCTTGGAGCTGCTCTAACAGTTCAGGGCTGTTGGATTTAAATAAACAAGATCATATGAAAATAGAGATTTACAGCTGGAAACACAGACTAAATCTACACTAATATGGTACTAATATGCTATAAATCTTATCTATACAATCTTATGAAATTTGCCTGAAATTTGAACTTACATAGATGCTTCATGAAGATTTGAAAGCCCCATATCCTGGTTGCTTTTTGACGGTATCTTCTCATCCACGGGGGAAACAAAGCCATCAGCATCATCTTCTAGTTGATCCAAGAAGCTACGTACATTGAAATCTGTTCTCATGGTAATTGTGAAATCTGGCTTCAGATTGCTGTCCTCCTCAGACCCCTCCTCTTCTTCCTACAGAGGGGGACAGATCACCCCCATAACAGGAGAGGTTACACATTCCCTGTCAGAAACAGGCACCTTCTTTCACCACATGCACTGGGGAACAGATATGAAAGAAGTGGATAAGAGGAGCAAGCACTGGAACCGCTAAGCAGTGCAGTACACGAGAGTGTCACCAGCAAGACTCCCTGTACCCAAAGCTTCTATGGGAAAACCTCGTGACTACCAACTCGGATGGATTAAGGACACATAGCGCAACAACACTGAGTGAAACCAAAATCTGCAGTTCTTACCAGCCTGTTGCTTCGTTTAGTCAATATATTCTGATGCAATTCTGATAATTCTGATGCAAAACACTTGTAGATCAACTAAGYACAAATTCTAAAGCAAACCTGCATCCTCTGCCTTTCCCTGCAAATGCACCTACCAGCAGTGCAGTCACGGTAACAGGCGCGTTGTSAGGGTAAAACACGAAGCTTTCTGAGGATGCTGCCTAACAGCTGTTTCTAAAGGGCAAGTTCAAGGCCTCAAACGCTCATACAGTGATCATATCAATACCTATCGTACATATCAATGAGCTCAGATCACTGCTTCAATGTAGGAGACGGCTGACTGTAAAAGCACCGCTGTGCCTAACTTGATCTGGATGTCCGTCATCTACTTGGAATACACTAAAGACTGGAGTGGAAAAACTGTCTAGTGCAAATTCCCCAAAGCACAATGAGGAATTGGTCATACTTAAACGTTTTCCAAGGTTTTCAGGCACAACACTTGGAAGTGTCTCTGCTGCACTTGGTATTTGCTAATTCACAACTTTCGCAACGTAGAGCTTGTCCTGGGACAATGTCCAGATATCACTGGGATTTTCAGTGCTCAGCTTTCTCTTACTTAAAGAGACATTTCCTGGAGGCAGTTTTCAGCCTTAATACAAAGAATAAGGCATGAACATTAGAAGAATATAATAAACGCTAGCAAAGATAAGTGTTCTTGTCAAGAACAAAAATCAAAAAACAATTTTGATATCCATGCAACTCTAAWGAGGAAGGATCTAAACATATACATAGCTTGAAAAACTTCTGAGGGCTATTATCTATTATCACAGAAATCTCCAAGTATATGCCAAAAATATACCATTACATGGGGATCCAAAGAAGCTCTTCACTTTTCTCCTGCAGATTCCTTGCTAATAGTTCAATTAATTCTAACAGATTTCTCCCACACCTAAGCCCAAAGGAAAATGGGACACTGGGAGTCAGTGGCATTTCACAGCATGCCTGTTAAACACTCCAAATCAATGACGTTTAAATGCACACATTAGCATGAGGCCACAGTTTGCCCAGGGTTTCCTCCTTGGCAAAGAGCTCTAGGCTGCAAACTRTAATGCAAAGCCACAGGCTGAGAACTGCAGCCGAGATGGAGGCTTGAGGGGGAAGAAAAGATGAGTTGGAAAACAAGAATCTCTGAATAGCAGCAGCAACAACAACAAAGATACCAAAAAGTTTGAAAACATCTCAGGCAAATCTGCAGGGAACTGGTGTAAGTTAAAGCAGTATTTAGCATATGGTCAGATGAGTCCATTTCTCCAAAAGTAAACCACGTAGCTGCAGTAGAAGGCATAAAGCTGAGCCCACTGCAGTCACGTACTATTTTCAAGAGGCCCACTGGTGCTGTGACTGCAGTCACGTACTATTTTAAACCCTGCAGACAATGTCAGGTTGGGTCACAGCCATGCGCAGCCCGCGGCGYCGGCTGCCCCGCACGGCGGCCAGGACCAAGGCGGCAGAGCGGCCGCCGCTGCTGCGTGGGCGAGGGATTTGCTAGTTGTCCTAGCTGCTAAAACTGTGCTCTTGGTTTTCAGGGATGTCTCTGGGGCTCCAAAGCAGGAGCTGCTGCGTGGTGCAGCCAGCAGCGCAGGGCCACAAGCAGGGTGTGTGTGCAGGCCCCACGCGGCAGCAGCCTCCTCCTTGCAGACGCCCACGCGCGCGGGCAGCTGGCGAGGGTCGGCGCGGCAGGACACGTCTCGCTGCAGAGCCTCGCGCACAGCCTGGTCGCTCGGGCCACAATTTCCGTGGCCGGCAGCTCAGGAACGAGCCTCCTGTCAAGGGGTCTCTTGGAAGGAAAGGGCAGTGTATCTCCCATCTAGACCTTGGTGCCAAAATGCTACATCTGGCTGACTTTGCTCCTCAGAGGACCCAGTAGTGCCACGGCAGCCTGCAGCACTGAGAACCCCCCAGCAGCCCAAGAAAGGAACGTAATGAACCCGTCATCCAAACCCGACCGTGTGTTACCTAGCAGACCCGAGTTGTTCTGACTCCAGTCCTAGTGCTGCCCTTTTTAGGAATACCTCTTACAAGGCGGGAGAAAAGAGCCCTGGATAAAATAAGCATGTGAATGGGAGAAGGTATGGATCCCGAAAGTTCCCTGGTTGGCTCCACGTGCGAGTGTTAGTTCTGTGAGAGCTCATTCCCATTCCAGCCACGGTGCTGTGTGCAAGCCACAGAGCTTTGGAGTGAGAGAAACTACCACAAAACAGGTCAGCATTATTAGAAAGAAAGAAAAACACCAAGATGCAATGGGTAATTGTGAGTCTTTGGCAAAATAAAATGTATTATGTGCAGGAGGCAGGGGGAAGGAGAAGGAAGGGAAAGTATGCAAAGCCACGGAAATACTGTAGTCTGATCTACAACAACAGAGGGAAGAATTTGTTCAGAACTGGCGAGGCTTAAAGCAGCTACTGATTTTTCAGGAAGACACTGCAAAAAATCAACACTGATGGAAAAAAACAACCAATCGATCAATCAACCATTCTCTTTCATTGGTAGGAGGGGAGAACTGATGCAAACTGAGCAATTAGTTAGCAGCTGGAGGTCTTCACCTTTATCTCCTTGAAGAAGGAAGCTGTTTCACCCTCGATAATTGGCTGCAGCAAAGGGCTTCTCCGCTTGCTGGAGGGGGAACCCTGTGACAGGTGTTAACAAGTATGTTACATTTATGAACCCTTTTCTCCTCCACAGCCTGCTCTCCTACTCTCAGCTCATTCTCACTCACTTACTCACTCGCACTCTCTCAGCTCATGGCCAGACCATCAAGAGAAATCTATTTCTTAAAGAAGAAAAATATTCTTGGCAAATCTCTCGAAGCTTGGACTGTTTTCTCTCAAAATGTTGCTTAGCAAGGGACTTCAGTGCCAAACATGTGTAAGCAGAATGTCTGGTGCTGGAATACTAGCTGGGCAGGAACTACAAAGTAAAGGCTGCAAGAAAATAACCCCTAGCCTGAGGCACACACACACACAACATTTGGTTGGCTCTGCACATGTATGGTGTAAGCCCAGCTAAACTCTCCAGGCCTGCTTTCCAGGAGCCTCATTTCTCACTAAAGTGCCTCAAGACATAGATACGGGTTTTCAAAGGTCTCCAGACTCAGCAGGAACCTCTCACAGCTCTTGTCAGAGCGGTTAGGGAAAACTGTTTTCCTTTGCTAGCAACACTGGGATTTTGAGTTTGTCTCTAAACTGGACTTGAGTTCACTTAGACCTCAAACTGCTCGTGCACAGCTAGAGGGTTTCTTCCTTCCGACTGCCAAGGCTATCTTCACTGCACGCTCTGGGGAGTATTTTGCATACTCAAAAAAGAGCTTTTTGTTTTGTTTTAAATGCAGGACCACCTTCCACTGTGCAGAAAAACACACTTCTCCGTGTGTCTGACTGCACTGAGTAAAGCTGTGCCTGTCCGTTCACTTCAGCAGGCYATCTACAAAAACCGGCAGCCAGGACTCTAGGGCTGCCTGGTAACTGCAAAAGAGTAAGGGGTCATACGTGACAGACAGAGCAAGCAGCAACCAAGATAAAACAATTCTTTYTCTACAGACAGGCTGAAAGGATTCTCTATATAGTTTTTAAGTCAAATGTATATTTTTAAAAGTTTTGTACACAAGTTGTATAAAACTGGAGATATGTTGCTCACTAGAGGAATGTACTGGATTCCCTGCTATTGTCAGTCCTTCCTTGCCAGAGCATCATCCCAAATTAGGAAATATCTGCCACTTGCAGCACCTCTTTAATACAAGCCAAGTGCTCTGAGGCTGCTGTCACCTTTCAGCCGACTGGAATCTCACCCGCTGTAGGACCCACACAAGTCTATGAAAATACAATATTTTGTCACGTGTAACCAACCAACATGAAGGCCTACAGCTCCAAGGGCAGACTATTAAGGAAAGGGAAGGGAGGCTGTAGCCAAACACAGGGTGATGAAATAGCAGCAGCCCAATGGAAAGAGGAGAAACAATATGAGGTGAGATGTGCCCCATGATCATGGKTGGGCACTAGAGTCCCTTGACCGGCTTCACCCTTGGCTGACTTCATCCTGAATGTCAACAGTTCACTCTTATTTACTTAATCTTTGGGTGATAAGGGAGCCTGGGAGTTGGCCTCCGTGACTGTGCCATATGCAGAGGTGTGGTTAATGCCCTGTTTTCTAACTCCAAAGCAAAAAAATAGCTCCTACAAGACGGTTCTACTCACAATAATAGGAATGGTGTTGGCCCTGGAGAGGATCTGTTTGATCAAGCGATATCTGTCATATAATGGCTTCATCACTTGTCGTTCATTTTTGGTTACCTGAAAAAGAATAAGAAATAAGATCTGTGAAACAAGCCTGCAGCAGATACTCCACTCCCTAATGTTCCTGTAATCACTGTTAGTCAGAGGGAGCTTGTAGGGAAATTTACAAGGACAACAGTTCAGTAGCAACAACATGGAAATTGGAATTGTGGGTGCTCCTCAACCAGTGCTCAGCACCACCCATGCTGTAGATGTCTTGTAATGCATATGTGTGAGACAGAAGATTCGAAAGGACCAGCTTATGTACCATGTGTCCACTGCACAAAACCAGCCATAGAGCCACTACTCTGTGCTTGCAATCATGTCTAGCATTGTCAGGCCCAACATGAGGCTTCCTACACTCAGTCTTGTGGCAGAGACCTCAGAGGCACCATTTATGACCCAGGAAATGAGAAAGAAGCTGCAAGAAATGTCTGTCTCCCCAGAGAGACTTTCCTAGGGAGAGTTAACCTACCAACTTCACAGAAGTCACACAATCTGATTTCCCACTTCATTCCTCCTTGTACTTCCCTCTCAAAGCCAGCAGTTCTTTTTAATTCCTTACCTTTTGCTTCCACCCTTCCTCCAAGAAGCTCTGTTGGGAAGAAGAGCTACCATGTTGCTACCAGCTTCTCTGACCCTAACCCCACTCCTCCTAGCTGTACACTGAACTCTCCTCCTCAGTTTGAGAATTGCTTTTGTCAGCTTCAGCTTCTGYCAGCTTCTGGCATTGATTCAACTTTAAGCTAAGCAGAAAATCTCAGTGGTACTCAAAGTGCAGAAGGGAAGACCTAATCCCATAACAGACAACAGCCAGTGAAGGAAAGTAAAAGTTTGTTCAACTAAGTACTAGTAGTAAGGAAGTGGGGATCTATCTTGCTAGAAGGGTTGGAAAACAAACAAAACACTCGACAGAACTAAACTGATCATACTCCTCCTTTGCATTCAGCATTGTTTCATCTACATCTAGGGACTGTCTTTCCACTAGATCTTTGGTMTAGCTTGAGATTATAAAGCTCTTAAGAAAGGAAGCTTTAATCAATTCTGATGAAATTCCTACCTTCCTCAAATCGTTTCACTGTTGCTAATCATCAGAGCATCTGAAGAGCTGCCATGTGAAAATGCACCCCTTAGAGGGCTTTTACAGCCTCCCTTTCTGCAATAGGAAGAGGAGAGCTAAGTATCTGCATTAGACCATACAGACTAGCAAGCTGTTCCAAACTGTTTTTCCTTTCTTTTTTTCCTGCAACCAATTAACCTTAATCAAGCATAAAACTGGAAAATATGCTAGCCTATTGGGCTCGTGTCTTTCCTAGCTTTGCTATGTTAGGGGCTAGTATAACATGAGGCATAGCATTACTGTTGGCTCAGGAAGTCTCAGCTGAGGTTGAGAACCAAGCCTTTAGTTGCTGATACTTCAAGGAAGATAAATACCTCTGCTCTGGAGAGAGGAAGAGAGAGGAAGAGAGAGGAAGAGAGAGGGAGGGAGGGAGGGAGGGAGGG